CTGGGAATTAATTTCCTTGCTGAAATGTGGGTTTTCGCTTTCAGGGTACTTGGAAATCTCTAATTCTATTCCGTAAGTGGCATGCGGAATTTGGGGAAATCCCAGGTCCTGTGTAAGTGGGGCCTAAAGTCACGCAAGGTCAGTCGTGATGCAGGGACGCCTCCGCCAGACGGCGCGCCAGTCGAAGCGGATTATGTGGGCGCCAGCAGACACGGAGAACCCCCTGTCTCCTCTTATTGTTCCCACTGAGCATCGTGCGAACCGGCACACGTGTTTTCCCATATGCTCTCGCTTGTCCGCATCCAGAGAAATATTCTGCCGAATAAAGAGTCGCCATGCGCCGCCATTGTCAACACGTGAATAGGTGGCGTTCTCCGTTTAGAGGTTCACCAGTCGATTCGTGTAAAAGGTACGTAGTGATTCATTGTTAAAGCATCATTTCATTGTTAAAGCATCATTTCATTGTTAAAGCATGATTTTTATTATTATTAATTAAGATGAATTTTTTTTATTATCACCTCTTTAACGGGTGAGGTTCAGTAATGAATTCTCTTATTTATCAATTCCAAGGTCTGTGAAAGAAGCTCAGGATTAATCCCCTTCGCCTTTGGCAGACTCGCGACGCGTTTGATTTAATTAATCCGAGAGGATCCGACCTGTCCTAATTAAGCCTTTGAATGGTCTATTCAGCTTCGGGAGGGATTTCGTAGAGAAACGAAATACAGAAACTGATTGGCTCTTCTGCTCCTTTCAAGGACATGGGAATATCCTGCTGGAGACTTTTAGTGGCGTGCCTAGGGTTAGGAAGATCCCTTATATACAGGATATGTACACGTATATACGGGATATATAGTGGAACCTGGTACCCGACGTGCCGCTACGTACGATTTACGATACCTCAGTTGTGCTTTTTAGTACTCCACCTACCATTACCTAGGATTTAGGACAACTTACTTCAACCTTTAAGTATCCTGGCTCAGAACTAAGGGTTTCTAATTGAAGCGAATCAGGGGAATTGGCTCGCCCTTTAGTTTTATTAAGGCGATGAGAAAGGGGCCTCCACGTGGCGTCGTTTATAATACCTATCTCCGAACTGAGTATACCAAATCCTTTCAAACTTGACAATATAAACACAGAGGGTACAAGAAAGGTCCTGACACCCTTGAGATTTCAATTTCTTAAAAATTTGTTCATAGGTATTTTTACAATTTGTTATAAAAAATGTAATTTCATGACGGTCATCCCCTTAAAGCTTAGTAGCCAAAGGGTTAAGTTAGGAACATCATTTCCATCAGCAATGAGCACCAGCCCTTGAAAAGGATAAAAGGTTCCCCTATCGCGGTTTCGGTCCCCTAGGCAAGAACCATAACAATCCCTAAAGACCGAAGGGAACGTGGGGACAAAAAACCCTAGCGGTCATTCATCCGGACCCTGACCTACCCTCCAAGCCCGCTTGAACTCAGAGGTCTAGGACGGGTCTAAGAGACTCCCTCGTCCGCGAGAAGTGGATGAACCTCAGGATGATGAGACGACTGTTCCCCATTCCCCAAGTTTGGACCCCAACGAAACCCAATCCACTCCCTAGGAGGTTAGGGTGGAGGTCCGGGGAAGAGATAGGATTCGAATAGGCTAACTGGGATGAGATGGAAAGGGGGAAACGACTGGAGGACATCGGGAGAGGTGGAGGTCCTGGTCTCGCTCATGCATCCCAACCAGCTCATCATCTTCCGACAAATGTATTCAAATATATTTACCCCGCTTTAATAATGCCGGTCGCCATTGTGCGGCGTAACACCCTCAAGTACCAGCTCATAACTCGAGGCAATACCAACGATGCTCCCTCCACCCTGGAATGCCGTCTCGACCTTCCACCCCTCTGGTGCTCCCGGGGGAACGTGCAGTGCCTTCGGGAACTCCCGACAACCTCTCGACCAGCCTCCCCATTATCGAAGGGGGGTTTTATTACTACGGTTTATGCAACTCCTGGAGGTCGCTCGTCTCTCCCTTTCCTCGTGTCTGACTCTGCTTGAGAGGAACCCGAAACGAGGGATGCAATTTGAGCTTAATCGGACAAGACCCTGGGCCCTTGAAGATGGTAAAAATCAATTTCATTTGTTTATCTTGCAAACTACTCATTATATGCAAAAAGCCTTTATACAAAAGTTGTAGATCTACTAAAAATGTGCATTTTATTTCCCATAAATTTTTCTTCTATGTCTGACTGTTTCCGAGAAAAACTCGAGGAAGCACGTCACGAGACAGGTATCTCGCGAAGACTTGACTCTTTGTTACGATAGTTTATGCATCTCTGGAGGTGAGGCGAATCTAGTCCCATCCACTCGTCTCGCCGGCAGAAAGAACTCAAAGAGCGGGGAAAGGGTGATGGAGATGGAAATGGAAATGCAAGCAGTGAGTGTCATCACCTAGAAACGCAGATGGCGTCTCTCCTTTTGCCCCTCTTCTTGCACTCCACCCTCTTTCACCAATATTTGTCACTTCGCCGACTCCGTATGTCAACAGTTCCCTAATTTCGACACATTCCCTGGAATAAAATCAAACCCTCATCGAAAAAGGTGGAACCTCATAAACACTCCAAGGTTAATCCTTTAATCCTTTGGCTAAAGGTGCCCGGGCGGGTACGAGAGGGTACGAGAGGGTACGAGAGGGTACGCGCTGATTAATTAAAAAAAAATACCTGGCAGGTAATTCGCGTATCGGTGCCATCTTTAGGGGATCTAAACATTATCTAAAAGTTATATTAATGTCACTTAACCGTGTCTTGTGGATTGTTACAGTCGAAGAGGGATGCCTCACGGAGTTTCCAGAGAGGAGCAGAGGGAATCCTTACCTTGGACTCTACATGGAGCACCCAGGAGGTGGCCGGATACTCCACGAGGTCTCAACCTGAAGAAACGAGAGAAGGAGCTGACGACAAGACCGGACAATTTGTTAATATTCTTTTAAACTAGTTCTAGAATGTATGTATTTGCGGTACCTGAGGTACAATAAACTGTAAAATAATTATTGCAATAAAGGAACTTATTTCACGATAACAATGTGTATATTTAATTAGACGAGCGTGTCTAGCGAACCCTCTAATCACCTATTCCTGATCTAAGTTTTGTGCCACCTCCTCGGTTGTCCTATGATCCTGTTAGAAATCGAAAATTTCAACCCTCTAATCACCTATTCCTGATCCAAGTTTTGTGCCACCTCCTCGGTTGTCCTATGATCCTGTTAGAAATCGAAAATTTCAACCCCTAAAATTTATGCCCGGGAGAAACTCCGTGCCACCTCCTCGGTTATCCTATGTTCCTGTTACAAATCGAAAATTTCAACCCCTAAAATTTATGCCCGGGAGAAGACCGTGCCACCTCCTCGGTTATCCTATGTTCCTGTTACAAATCGCCAGTGATGGATCAGGATCATAGGACAACCAAGGAGGTGGCACGGTCTTCTCCCGGGCATAAATTTTAGGGGTTGAAATTTTCGATTTCTAACAGGATCACAGGACAACCGAGGAGGTGGCGCGGTCTTCTCCCGGGCATAAATTTTAGGGGTTGAAATTTTCGATTTCTAACAGGATCACAGGACAACCGAGGAGGTGGCACGGTCTTCTCCCGGGCATAAATTTTAGGGGTTGAAATTTTCGATTTCTAACAGGATCACAGGACAACCGAGGAGGTGGCACCGAATTTTGTGCCTTAGATCTACGAGTGATGTTCAAGGATTAGGAATAGGCTATTAGAGGGTTCGCTAGACATACTCGTCTAATTAAACGTACTCATTGTGATTGTTCAATAAATTCCTTTATTACATTAATTATTTTACAGTTTATTATACATCAGGCACAACAGGTACATAAGTTCTAGGGCTCGTTTTTAAGTTACGTTTGCATTACCACTACCAGGCTGCGCCATGTACACGAGGAAGTCGTTCATGACTGCCATTGCACCTCTGAAAATGTTATTTCAGAGTTAGAATCGATAATTACTGCCATGGTATCGATTCAGGTCGTGATTTATTAAGATATGACCGCACTTAGAGATATGCACTGTGCGTGGAGGGTGGCCAGTCATAATGATTGATCGATTGATTGCGCAGTGTCCATCCATCATCCAGTGGATGTGCATCTTCCATTTCAATTCCGGACTGTATAGAGTAAAGGGGCGCCCACGCAGAGAATAGAAGATGATCCAGAAAGAAATCCATGCGAATCCCCCCCAGGAAACGTAAGATCCATCCTTAAACCCCACTCCGAACATAACCTAACTCTCACCGACCAGAACATTACAATATTTCGTTCGAGTATACATTAACAACACCTTAAACATCGAAAATCAACGAGGTGAGTATCCTGCACTCTGTCCGAAGGGTGTGTTAAATCTAACCTAAAAAGCCATGGTATAAGGCACCGTTAAAAAGAAATTCATGCACCCTTAGTGCATAAGGCTGCAGTGAAATTACAAATTTGATGTCTTAACAGTGAATTAGCATACATTTATTATAAAATTGTAAGTATAATTACCATTTACGTTGCACATTCGGTGGGTCGTGGAATCCAACCATGGCCGGAGGGTAATTAAATTACGATACAGCACCAGCCCGAAATTTGGAACGACAGAGAAGCAGCTTAAGCTTCGTTAGGTGTGTTTTACATCCTCCTGTTACATATTTCCCATGGCAGCGACATCTGTCGGTCGATGCTGCATTTAATCATATGTAACACTTCGTCGCGGTGTAAATCCACCCTAACGATCGATAAGCCCCACCAGAGCCGCCCATCGGGATTATTAGTTAGTTCATGGCGTATATATCCTTTTATTAAATCCTAATTCCCATACTAAACTTTCCAACAATTAAGTGGAACTCCTGGTAAATAAGAAAGTGACTTACTTAAATCGAGTAGTCGTAGACGGTTGCCCCTCCACCTTGGCGTACGATCAAACCCTTGGCCAGACATACCGTTTCTAACCTCACTTTCCGCTGAAATTGAGGAAAACGACGGGATGAGTGAAAGAGCCATGATTTCTTAAAGAATAAAGAGTACCTTTATTATACCTACATCGATATGAAAGGAAACGCTTTCTAAATACGTACGCATCTCTTAAGTGACGGGTTACGTTCGTCTAGTCGGGCTAAACCTAGGACTAACCTAAATCGCTTCTACTAACCTAAAACCCCGTCCGTCTAGCTCCGCCGTGAGGGCAGCCCGACGGGGGCGGCTAACTTAATTTATACAAACTAACGCCACACCGGAATTATATTTACACGACGGACTGAATTAATCTTTCCACGGATAAACACGACGGCAGCGCCGCCACGGACGAGGCGGCGCCGCCCCGAACCACGTCCACGACAAACAGAAGACAGAGGAAAGATCTCGCAGGATCTGATCAACGCTAAATTTACACCGGTCACTTGACACCAAGTATATTAAAGCCGCGGTTTTATTAAACTGTCAGTGTAAACAATGATATCCCAAGAAGGGATGATTGGTGGTCTTCTAATGTACCGTGTCAAGGCGATATACGGTCGTTTACAGTGACGGTTTAATAAATCCTCGGGTTTAATACCCGTGCCGAGTGATTCCAAGACGTCTCATTTGAAAAGGGTATCTATTAAAGAAGTGTTAACGATGTAACGTTGTTGCGACACCTGCCAAGGGTTCTCTCGGGGGTTTCCACACGTCGTGGAAGTCTTGGCAACGTTTACGCAACCCTCGGCGAGATGTCGCGACGTTACATTGGCAGAAGTTCCATAAACCAATTGGTTCCCATCACTTCTCCGAGTCCTCGAGTGCATACTTAATTGCGTCACGTAATCCCAGGGAAAATGACGTCGGATCGAGGATTTCGTTACGCGATGGGATCCTAGGGAAATTTCACTAGAAAAGTAGTCATTCTCATGGAAATAAAGCCAAGCGAACGAAGATATTCGACCATACGGCCGCGGTTTACATAGAGCCGGGTTTTCAAATCTGGCTGCGACGCGCATAACCTCCAATTTTACACAAGGGACGCCATTAAAAATTTTCACGGCACTGCGATAGCTTTGCAACTTTCATTCCCAAATATAGGTCCTCCATGTTATATCCGAGTCTCGTCCGCGACATATGTTAGGTTAGTTCCCGCAAAGTGATGTGCGGCCGAAATGGCGCCACCATCGCCACCTCCGCCATCCATTTCCCTATTCCCCTAGCCATGGCACCCTGCCCGATAAATCAGATTCCCTAGCCAACATATCGGTGATTTTTCTTTTTTCTTTCCTCGGACCTCCTCGCCCACTTGGGTTTCCATCTCTTCCATGGACTCGCCAGTGATCAAACCTTCTTCACCCTATACGTCCACTATACGTATACCATACGTATACGTCCATCAGACACAGTCCTTTAAGGTACAGTTTCTCGCGTCCAAGTATCTCTCTTGTAAATAACCTCAAAGTGGTCACTTGTAGGCACGAACTCGACGCGAGTTCGCGAACTACTTCGGCGTAATCCTCGATTAGTGCTGGGCCCTTAAGGCGGCACGAAAGTGGCGGGACCAATCGTGCGCGACACTTTTCTCTTAACAGGACGTACCGAATGATCCCAAACTGCAGAATATGAACATAGAGGCTACAAGGAAGGTACCGACGCCCATGAAATTTCAATGTTCATGGGAAATTTGGAAAATCTCTAAGGAGAAATTTTTTTCTGATCCTTCCAGGACCTTCCTTATACCCTCTATGTTTCTATTGTGAGGCTCGAAACGACTCGGTGCGTCCAGGTCGGAGGAAAGTCACGTAAACAAAGCGCTAAAGCCAATTTCATATCACCTTAAGGTAGGTCAAGTCAGCACGACATGCCAGGGATTTATCACACGTCCTTGTAGGATCGACAAGGGGGCGGTGGGGCACTCCACATCCCGTTTTCTCGGCAGGTGGGTTTTTTCACCGGCTCCAGAGGGGTCACGTACCCTGGGGAACAGGTCACCTGGATGTTGTCACCTGGCTTGTACCAAAATTTAAGGGGCGCTATTCTTCCGTGGGGCGGATCACCTGGATAGGGACACCTGACTTCACCTGCAACCCATTAAAAAAACGGCATAAACGAGGAGGCACTATTAAGGGGATCTGGAACTGCCGTCAGATACCTCGTCCATGAAACTTTTCTCCTAACTAGATCTGCGGAATCGTTCCAAACTTCACAATATGAACACAGAGGCCATAGGGAAGGTCCCGACACTCATGAAATCCCAACGCTCATACGGAATCTTGAAAATATCCGCAAAGAAGTTTTTTCGTAACCTCTATCTTTATATCGTGAAGTGCGTACAGTTCGGAGGAAGGTTTCATTAATTGGTGCCGCTTTCATATCACCTTAAGGATTTTAATTAATAGTAAAATGTCGGTGCAACGGCGTTAAAGTGAGGTTAAAGTGGGAAGCATTGTCATTTCCGAGGCAGCGACGAAACGTAGGCACTGGGACTCCCTTAATCCACGGGAAGAGCTAGACTGCGTAGACGAGATTCATGTTGATGCGGTAACTTTCTGGAGTTTCAGATAAAGTGCCCAAAATGGATGGCGCCGTTAATAAAGGACCCCAGGAAAAGGGTTAATAAATAACGGTTTGTCGCTGATAAAATTAGACAAGATGGAGCGACGCGACAGACCCGTCGTTGGTATTACTCATTAATTCGTCACCTCGACAGTCTGGGGTCTCCTCGGCGTCTTCCTGATATTACGGGGAAGTTTTAACGATCGTCCAGGAGGAGGTGCGTCCTCGAGGCCGCCATTGACGATCCGTTAAACTTGGGGAACAGCGATCGTTAATGAGCTCGGAATGTACTGGTGGGGTGTTCCGCAAGAATCGCTGTTACACCCAACTCATTCCTTTGTTATGCCCGCCCTTAACGCCGACGGGACACTTTCGGAGCCAATTACGTCCTCCCGGTAATGAGTCCCCTCTATTCTCGACGGTTTCAATCAAAAGTTACCACAAATTTCACCCCTGCGTATCGCAGTTTTTTAAACGTTGCTGGTGCGCAAGAAAACAAATCAGATGGGTACCAGGAATAGTTGCACCCAACACAACAATTTGTTGTGTCCGGTCTTAGCGCTTTTGAAATTAATTGCGGACACTAGGTAATGAGTCCTATCTTCAGCAATGTCAATCAAGAGTTTCCAGAAATTTAACCCCTGCGTATTGCAGTTTTTTTAACGTTGCTGGTGCGCAAGAAAACAAATCAGATGGGTACCAGGAATCGTTGCACCCAACACAACAATTTGTTGTGTCCGGTCTCAGCGCTTTTGAAATTAATTGCGGACACCGAGTAATGAGTCCTAATTTCAGCAATGTCAATCAAGAGTCTCCAGAAATTTAACCCCCGCGTATGGCGGTTTCTGATCGTTGCTGATACTCAAGAAAGGAATCTTGTGTTAAGGGTCGCAAGGGTCGGGAAGATCCGCTCTGTCAACAAATTTCTCTCGCGCAACTTAACCTAAGAAGCTTTTCCGACTGAATCAACGATGCCTTTGTCAGGCGAGCCTGTTGATCTCCGGACGCAAGCATGGTAATTGCCGTCCATTCAGTTGGAAAAGCGGCATCAAGGATCTTAACTCTAAGACGGACTTACAGACTGGCGTCTGGTGGGACCAAGTGCCGTTCTCGGTGCAGATCACGGAAGCTTCACCTATGAGCTGGTGTCCAGGGAGGCAGAGGAACCTCACCAAGGCTCCCACCTTCCTGGACCCACGTCCACCACGTCTCCTGGTGGTGGGCCGCTCGTTCTCCAAAATGCGACCACTCTTCGGGGCTATAGGGGATGGGCAGGTGATCTCTGCAACATTGATAAGGAATTCAGAGCCATTAGTCCGTGTTATCTATCCCCGCCCCATCAAAGGGCCATCGCAAGATTAGGTACCCCAAAAAGGTCCAGCGGACTCCTTGTCGCATCTGAAAATTGTTGATCAACCCCGGTGACCTCGCAACCATCGTGATGGGTATTGTTTACCCTAGAGCGGTTCTTCTAGGGGATTTCAATAAGACAGAAGACACCTAACCATCGCAAGATTAGGTACCCCAAAAAGGTCCAGCAGACTCCTTGTCGCATCTGAAAATTGTTGATCAACTCCGGTGACCTCGCACCCATCGTGATGGGTATTGTTTACCCTAGAGCGGTTCTTCTAGGGGATTTCAATAAGACAGAAGACACCTAACCATCGCCATCGCAGGATTAGGTACCCCAAAAAGGTCCAGCGGACTCCTTGTCGCATCTGAAAATTGTTGATCAACCCCGGTGACCTCGCACCCATCGTGATGGGTATTGTTTACCCTAGAGCGGTTCTTCTAGGGGATTTCAATAAGACAGAAGACACCTAGCCACCCAAGACAACTACTCCCCACGTCCCCAGGTGCTTTCGCGTCCCGATCGATAGCGACCCTAGACCAGGTCCAACGTGGTGGAAGGCCGCGAAAGAAATTGTCGCCAGAGTTAGCTCGTCGGCAGGTCGTGCACCCGGCGAGGGCGGTAGATCTCCGAGTGGGTGTGCAGTCGGCACGTAGACCCACCTACAGGGTCTACAGAGTCTACAGGGTGGTTCAGGACGTGAACCGAGTCGCCCGTGACAAACGACTCGGGGTGACGGCGGCGGCGATGGGTCGATTTTCGCGAGCGAATCGAGGCCGAACGGGGATAGGGTGAAGTTAAACTCGATTAGCATATCGCGACGAGTTTAGAATGATTTCCACCCCCCTCCAGGGCGGGGGGAGGTCCCCCAGGGGGTGAAACGTGGAGCCGGAGCTGGCGCCTGTATTTTCGCGAGCACGTATTCCACGGATTCCGGAAACGGTTCCCATCGTCTCCGACGAGATTCCCGGGGTGGTTTGGGGCCAGGGGGAAACCGGGAGGCGAGGGGCGAGGAAGAGCAGCTTAAAGTCTTCAACGCTGCCCCGACGAAGGATTGCCCGACTTATGTGGGATTGTTATTTTTCACGGTTAAATCTCCCTGTCTTATTCCTCGGGGGCTCCCATGTTTGGGGGACGTGGATCACTTCCTGGGGATGTGGCCCCGTCGACGGGTGTCGTGCCAGATGGATGCCCGGTCACCCTGGGGGAAGTTAACTGATTCGGACCCCCCTCCTAAACTGTACAACTGCATTAAGGGGACCTGAAAGGGTCAATTGTTCATGAAACCTCTCTTTGACGCCGCTTTCATCCCAGCTTAACCCTTTTAGTGCCGGACAACTGTGTAGCGTCGTTTTACAAGTGACACGACCTCGGCCGGCACTAAAAGGGCTAACTACCGTGAATGTTACTTTTCCTCCCTTCGGTTACACTAGAATCCAACGGGGAAACCTATAGGGAAATCTCCCTAGCAGATTCCCTTTGCCTCATTCGAATATTTCCAGACCCTTGACGGGGGGGACGGTCGCATCGATTGTTATCACTCCGGGGTGTTAGTTTTGAGGGGGGGAGATACTTTTTCTCCATATTCATTAGGCGACCAGGGGTTGATCACCTCGCTCGTTGCAGGGAGTCGGGAGGGTAATAACTCCGCTGCCGTTGTCGGCGAACTTTCGACTAGTGGGGGATTTTCCAACTAGTGGGGGAAGTTCCGACTGGTGGGAGAAGTTCCGACTAGTGGGAAATTTTGCCGACTAGTGGGGGAAGTTTCAACGAGTGGGGGATGTTCCGACTGGTGGAGGTAGTTGCGACTAGTGGGAGATTTTCCGACTGGTGGGAGGAATTGCAACTAGTGGGGGATGTTCGACCAGCAGAGGGGAAGAGTACAGGAAAATGCACGCCGGAAATTGAGAGACTGTTATTTGTGATTACAAGTGTTTTCACAAGTTCCCGCGAGACCCTTCCGAGCTCCGGTTACGGGGCTGATAAGGGGTGGCGGTGCTTATCAACGGTGGGGGATGATTTATATCAGAGTTTCAGAAATAATCCCCCACAAAAGTAATCTTGTTCGTACTCAAACGAATGAGCGATGTGCAGCTTTGTCGTTGCCGAAGAGCAATATTGCAACTATGAATGGAATTTCTTGCGTCCTAGGGAAATCCTCGTTTTTGTTTCTTCCTCTTTCTTGTCAATATATCAAAAAGTTTCTTGCTATGGCCGTGGATTATTATTTCTTCCGCGGCAAAACGTTATTATTCCAGGGAAATAAATAATGTAGAAGAAGAAATCATTTCTCTAGAAGGGAAGAAATTTTTCTCCCGAGGAAATTTAGATGGCCTCCACCCCATGTGCGGATAATACCGAGAAAGGGGCGAGGAAAGGAGGAAAAAGAAGAAAAGAGGTTTCAGGCTGAGTAGACGACCACTCTGGCGTTACCCCTCTCCCCTTTATTAATGTTATATAATGCAATAGGGTGGGCTTTACGGTCACCTCGACAGAAGAAGCAGCGGAAGCAAAAGGAGCGAAGGGGTGGCAGCGGGAAAAGTAGATGGAGCAAAACGAAGAGGGGGATTTGCTGGTCTCGGGAAGAAAAAAGGTAGGAATGGAGGAAAGCTAAACGGCCTAGGGAACTGGCGAAACAGGGTAGAGGGAATTCTCCCGACTTAGAGACAAGAAGATGGCCAGAAAAAAAAAAGATACGCTGACTGGAATTGCGAGAGGAAGAGAGGAGAACTGCAACATGTCCTGGAATTGAGAGGCAACCGAAAATTCCAAAGAATTAAGAAGCAGCCGAAAACTCCAAAGAATTAAGAGGCAGCCGAAAACTCCAAAGAATTTAACGCGTCCCCTGTTGAGTCTGAATGTCTGATATTTAAATATGTTTAAAATAGTTTTTTAGAAGCAAGAAACGTATACGAATTAATAGAACGTTAGAGGGTTTCAAAGTGAAGAACAGTCGTCTTATTATTCATCCGTCTAGGGTGTTACGTCGATAAAAGATGGTTTTACCGCGAGGCTACCGATAGGCGGCGTTCAACGGGCATTTATATGCGAGCCAAGATGGCGGCCGTCCAGGACGCTCAAACCGCACCTGACGCCCTACGAGTTTATGAGGTTATGTAATGCAGGCGTCCGGACGCGACTGTGGCAGAGTTATGGTGGTGATAACGCCGAAGAGGGGTCGAGATGACGATAGCGGGTATAATAAATCGTTCTTTGTCGTAATTGAATTAGGTGTCCGCCGGATATAAGCAATATGGTGAAAAATACAGCACGTATCTCCCTAACCTCAACAAAATTCCCGATAGCAAACTGCCAGGGATTTCTGCCTTTTAGGGTTAAGTCGAAAGAATGTAGAACACAAGCGTCGAATTAATTAGTCCTTAAGACTGTTTACGTGTTTATGCCTGCGGTAAAACAGGGTTATAACCTAACGGATACATGTATCGACTAATTCAAGGATCGTGAATTATTTCGACTTGTGTGAAAATTAACTATAAGTACACTTGGGAAGGCCCCGTGTTATGTAATATACGTTAAAAACCTTCAGGATATTACCTAACCTTACTTTTCGGTCCTGCACCTACGGGGTCCAGAGGGGAAATGAGGAGAATCCGAGTTTTTCATTAAGAACCGTGCACGCACAATGAAGTCTTCCCTCGGCGAGACGCGTTACAGCGCCACGGCGGACGCGATCGTAACTTCCCTCGGAACGAGTTCCCCCGTCGATAATAAAGCAACCTGCCGTATCGCCGCCGCTTCGAAAGGCGACGCTCGTTAAGACCATTACACAATGGCTCGCCATTAAACGCAAGACTTAATTTATGCATCCGACCGGTTAATGGCGTCGTTGCTTAAGTCGTGAAAAAGGAAAACCGAGCAATGGCGGACCTCGCCGAAGTTCCCATATTTGAGGCTGTTAAAAAAAAAATACACATCGACTTTGTAAGCATTACAAAAGTATGTATAAGTCGGGAAAGACATTGATTTCAAATGGCTTAACGAAGGGAAAAGAGATACCGAGGTTTGAAAATTAAATTCGGTGATTCCGCCGCCATCTTAGATTTACCAACTCAAATCTCCGCGTCCCGATTCCGATCGTTTAATCCTTTTCCCGTCCATTTTGTTAATCCCGTCCATTAAGCGATCCATTAGGTGTAAAATTGACCAACGACTCGCATAATCGGATCCGACCTGTGCGCTCGACTAAGAGTTAACTGAAAAGCGGGATTTCGCCCCATTAGCTTGGAAACTTCGGGAATTCTAAAATTCCATTTGGAGTATTCGAAATGCCGAAGTATAAACTGTACCATTCATTAGTTAATACTTTTACGGGACTGTTAATCCATCATAGGTATCGCGGCATGTGGTTGGGTTTCCCGTATATACTTTCCAAAAAATGATTTCGTCCCTCGTTTAGGAAAATTCAAAATGGCGCCGCTTGAGAGCGTCTCGCCGTTTGCGTTTCGCAGATTTCGCTCCGATATTCGACCCCGAATGTCGCTCGATTTTTCATGCCGGACAAAACGTTTTACAGCTCTTCGATCCGGTGGTTGGAAACGCAATTCCTGAGTTTTCGATATTCCGGGGAAATGCAGTTACGCGTTTATACCGACCATAACCGGATGTCAGCCAACGACATGTACGTTTAAAACGTCATGTAACCGGATGTAGACGAACAGCGTGTACATTCAGAACGTCATGTAACCGGATGTCGACAAACGACATGTACGTTTAAAGCGTCATTCGATATATAAACAAACTGAATGCACCAAATAATTTCAAGCTTTACCCCATAATTATAAAAGTCTTGAAACTCATGAAATTTGATTTCTGAGACCTTCATTGAGGCCTCCATAATTCCGTATTAAAATTTGAAATTATTCCGTGCACCCAGTTTGGAGAAAAGTTACATAAATCTTTTCTCGTTTTGTGTATGATATAATGGGTATGATAAAATGACCCTTTGATGTCACCTTAATATTATTGATTATTTAGCCTACACCGAAATAATGAACGGGTACGCCGCAAGGGCCGTTTCAAAAACCGTTTCCCCTAGGAAACGACTGACCCCTCGGATGCTACTCTAACACCCCCTTAAAGACAATAACGGCGACAATGGTCTTGGGCCTGTATTTATCAGAGGAAAGTCGAAACACGAAGGAAATAAAAAGGTTCAGTCTGCAGTGATTCACTCGCAGGTTATTTTCGCCTCCAACATGGAGTTCAGGTGGCAGGGTGGAGCCTGCGAAGCAGGAAAAGTGGAAAGCAGGTTCCCGGGAATCGTCGCACGCGGAATACATATTTATATTTATACGCGTCGGCCGCGTTAAATATTTACGAGGTCGTCCGGGAGGCGTCGCGACGGAGGAAACTTTCCAGAGTGGCGTCGCCACCTCGACACGGAACTGTGTGGACCTACCAGGGAACTACCAGGATCTCCACCGGGAATCAGGGGGAACCAGAATGCACTACCAAGAACCACAAGGAGCCACCAGGGATCGGGGATCACAAAGAACCACGAAAAACCACACAACCATAGGATTGTGTGGTCGCATTAATGCGATAGGGAGTACCCACTCGATGGTTAGACTGATTCTGGTATTATCAAGAACCCAAGGAACCACCAGGAACCAGGAATCACTGAGAACCACCAAGAACTAGCAAGAACCACCAAAAACCACACAACCATAGGATTGTGTGGTCGCATTAATGAGATAGGGATACCCTAAGGTAGGTCCCTAGACTCGCGAAATTTCAATTGTTATTAAATTCGTTGGAAATGGGTATAAACAAATTATCTTAAAATTGAACATTGTCAAGTTTCATGAACGAGTGACTCCTCCGATGCCAGTTTCACATCCCCTTAATCTCCGCCTTACCGAGTGACAGGACGGGAGATAGGGAGTGCGAAGGCTCCTGGGGAACTTCCGAAAATACCCGCCATAAATCTCCCGCAACTCGGCGAAACGGGGCTGCGGAAGAACCGCGACTAGTTCCCAACTAGTTCGAGACAATAAACCAGGTTTCGCGTGCGGTTTCGCGCGGAAAGAAACCCTTGTCTTCCGTTTCGCGGTTGTCTCCGTTTTCCGCTCGCTGAAGATTCCCGAGGGAATTCCCAGATCCTGGAATCGATGGGCAGGCATTTTTCTTTCGCCACCAGTTGCGGCGGAAACGGCAGTGCAACTTGAAACGCGAACCGCAACGAGTTGGCGAAACTCGCGTGGTCCTATACAGATGGAAAGTCATAGATTCCCTTCGAGGGGAGCCAACATGGCGGAGGCAACATATGGCCGCGGTCAAGAGAGGGAAAATTCCCGGATCGACCAGCCGAATTCTAAGTAAATGTAAACTAAGTGCATGGCCAGAGTGCAGTATTGCGGAAAGTCCGTCGAGGGCCGAGAAGCGTCCTCCGCCATTTTGGGGAAAACCGGCGGATCCATACAACGCGATCCCCGGAGGAGGGGAGCCGCATACCTGCGGCCGACTTGCGGAATTCCGCGGGAATCGCTACGATTACACGAACCCCCAACTCAGACCCTGAGATGTAGTTGCGTAACAGTTCCACCGATTTTAACAACTTCGGCGCACTTCCGTTCCAACATGGCGCCCGAGACGCACTAGTAGGATTTGCGGCCGCGTGGCCATCGAATTTGGAGGACTCCCTACCGTCGCAAATCTCTGCCCAGCGATTTATTAACTGATCAGACCCTGTGCCAATGTTGGACAACGCCGAAACAACACAATGTGTAACTAAAACCTCCCAAAAAATAGACTGGCACCATCATGATATCGTATCGGCCTTGCGGCGACCGCACCTGGAGGGTGAGCCTCCCTATCGGTCCCCCCATTGCTGGGGGGTTACACTCCCTACCCCACCCGGCAACTCCACCGCCAAAGGGGCCCGAAGGCCCAGGACGGGCTGGAAAAACCCGAATGCTCCGGACCGATCGTTCAAACCCCGGGGAGAGACTGGCACCATCAGAGACCAATATGGCGGCCGGGAGGACGAAGAAGATGAAGTATCCCCCCATGCGTCGCCATCGAGAGACTGGGTAGAGTCTCCTAGCCAAGTACACTACCACTACAAACAGGATTAATACAGATGGGGAGCTTCGGCGCCAATCGTCAGCATCAGCAATTATTCAGCACCAATCGTCAGCACCTTGTCGAGTTTCTAGGGGACCCCTGAGTTCCTCGAGTTGGGCGTCTTGTTAGACTCCCAGGATTAGATCTTCAATCAGGAAGAGGTGGAAAATGCCGGCGGCGATGATTTTGTGTATTCTTTTGAGTACACACGGGGGTATTTCTCGATTCCCCTCCTGCAGATCATTCTTCTCCCTGCAGGCTCTCCGCCTCGTCGCCGGGCAAGGAACTTTTCATTCAAAGTCCAATATTTGCCAGGTCGTCTCTAATACCCTGGGCGAGATCCCGTCGTAATTTCGATGGTCTATCGGCATCCAGGAGTCCCTCTGCGTTCGACAATCCTCGGAAACTCGATTCTCCCCTAGAATCTCTTTGGGGGCATTCGAGCTTGTGAAACTTTTCCAGCTCGCTTTCTCGTCCCCTCCCCCCTCGTCGCATTGAGAAAAAGATTTCCTTCATTCAAAGATAATGATTGTTTTTAGAGAGAGAAGGAATTTAGTTCCAGCTACCCCTAACAGATGGCGACGTCGGTCTTAAACGGTCGTTGGAATAATGAGTTCGCGGGATTTCGACGGTTTTCCGTCGATCTATTCGTCATCACTTTACTAAAATGACATACGAAACGCTTAAGTTCGTATAATTATCTACGTGGACTGTAAAAGACTCCGACGTAAATATAAATGTCGGTAACGTGACGTCACTACTAGGGTATCCAAAATGGCGTCACTACCGAATGTACGGCATAGCGACCCTACGGGTCTTTGCGCAAGACTTGCACCCTTCCCAAGTGGATGTAAAAATAATATAAATTATGGCGGAGAGTAGACGAAAAATGGACTCACCTGAACAGGTCGGCATGGATCCGTTCCAGACCCCGTCGCCTTCGCATCTTATGCTCTGGGGTCCCGAGAGCTTGTGGCCCCACATACAAGCGAACACGACTCTGCCCCCGTAGCTATTGTTGTGCTCCATCACCTGCAGCTTCGCGTTTTCCGGCTCCACGTTGGGGCAGACGATGGCGTCGCACCTTGGAACCTCCGCGGACCAAACGCCTACCACAAGAAAAACCCCCCACGTACGTTATTTCCCTTCTGCTCTAAAGTAACACGCAGTGTTGCCGTCCGCCATTTTGCATTTTCCCAACCGAGCAAGAAAAGCCTTAATAACCCAAAACCCCCGACGCCATCCCTCAGAAACAATTAATCTGCAAGCAAATCGATCAGTTCCCAATTCCGCAACCGACAAAACGCGCCCCGGAAATGAAGAACCTATAAATTAAATTAAAACCAGTGACATTGCGAAACCAAAGCCCTCAAAATGGAGGACGGCTCGGGCCTGCATTTCCTCGAAAGCATTAAACTCTTTCAGCTCGCAGTTGCAGCTGCGATCCGGAAACACCCTGTACACGTGTTGGCGGAATTTGTCCGGGACGCGGGTGCGGAAAAATCGCCCGGTCGGTCGCGTAATAATTCAGCCAACGGAACGTAAACGTCGCCGCGGAAAATGCCGCTTTTAAATGCAACATGGCGGCCGGGGGAAAAAATATTTATCGGCCGCTGCCTTCGGCGAGGGTACGTCTGTAAAAAGCCCGGCTGTTTGCAGTATTCACGGCCGACATTATCGGAAATTTCCTGCTAAACTCACCGTTATACTGACACGTGATGCGCGAGGCGCCCTCTAGCCTGTGTCCGAGGGGGCACTCGAAAGCGGCGCTCTGTCCCATGCGAGCGCCCTCGATTTTTCCAATCAGAGGAGGCGCAGGTGGGTTTAACGTGGGACAGTGGACGTCTGTAACATATTACGAATTCATCGATCAGGTGCACCTGCCAGTCGCTCGCAAAGGCCGGGCATCGCCAATGTTACGAGCCTTCTCGAAACCTTCGATTCCGGGACAAAATGGCGACGCCCGTTCTGGGTTATATTTTTATTCCCCTTTCCCTTACGTACGTAAGGGATACGATCGCAACTGGATCTATTGCGCATGCGACAATACTCCCCTTTCCCTTACATACGTAAGGGATTATGATTGCTACTAGGTCTATTGCGCATACTTATAAATAAATTATATATCTAATAAATTAAATCTAACTATCCTAAATCCTGTCCACCCTGTCCCACTTACATGTCCCGCCTTAGTCTTGATTCTGCTCGACTATCTGACCGATTTTAAGAAGCTTACTGAGTTTCTCCATTTACCACTGCATGCGGGAGCATCTCCGGAGAGACTGCCTATCCCACCGTTTGGGCCCCCTTATATACCCGCCGCGGGCCCTCTCGCCTGCGGGAGCGCAACACGACCGACGCCGCGGCGCGACCGCTCGCGGAACTAGGCGGGAGTTTTAAACCCTCTCGCCAGTAGACCCGCGGTACCTTGTACAATAGTCATTCGCTTATTACCAACCCTCTGCGCAGACCATAACCTCAAAGTGAACCCTTATCTTTCAGAAACGAGATGAACTCGGAATTTAAAACTTCGCCCTCTCGCCAGTAGTCCCGCGTCGCTCTGTATAATCATCATTCAATATGCCCAGGGCAAAAGTACATCCAGAGAGAGGACACTCATCTCTGCTGAATTTTCCGGAAGTTCCAGAGCGACTCGGGACGAACTTTGAACCGTTCGGGGAGCGCACGTCAGCCGATTAAAATGTAAAGCCCCCTTTAACGAGGCCGCAACTTGGAGAAAAAGCGAAAAGTCCGCGAAGAGGGACGATAACGTGCCTGGGGGTGCTTTTTAATTTCCGGTTAATTTCGTGCTACCGGATGTCTTTAAAGTGAAGCCTCCCGGAAGACGCCTCGCCGTCGGAGGGGGGGTTTATTAATTGAGAGGATAAAATGTGGGTCGGCTTATGCCGCGACGTTCTAGATGAGAAATACGCCTCGCGGTGGGAAATTGCACTCCGTCTTTTCCATCCCGAGGACAAATCGGGATAATAAATATTTCCCGGAGACCGCTCCAGAAATGGCGATCCTCCCCCCGGGACCGGAAGTGGATTTCCCGCCCCCGGAATACCGGATGCTGGGGACCCTTGCTGAATATTTTACCGGCCTGGTCAAATTTCCGATGTTTATTAATTACTTAAAAGTCAGAAAAATATCCACACGGTCAATTCCGACGGCTAAAAAACCCTGGGGAAAAATTAAGGGCACCGCGACTTCCCTCTGACGGCGATCGGCCGAAGTTGTAGGAGGGTACTTAGCGCGAAATGTCGAATAAATGTTACTGTCACGTTCCTCGCCCAAAAAATGTCCGAAAAATATCCACACGGTCAATTCCGACGGCTAAAAAACCCTGGGGAAAAATTAAGGGCACCGCGACTTCCCTCTGACGGCGATCGGCCGAAGTTGTAGGAGGGTACTTGGCGCGAAATGTCGAATAACGAGGGGCCCTCGTGTCGGCAACACGAGTGCCGGCCACTTTGTCATGTAAATCCGACGGGCGGCGGCACTTGGAAAGCGAACACCCTCGAATTTTCAGACTCGAAATTCGGGATGATTAACGCCCCCGCGACCGCACCGCCCGGACCGCAATTGCCGAAGAGTTCCCCGGGTATAAATCCGCCGGCCGACGAGAGGAACGGCCGCAAGGGGAGAAACTTTTTCGGGATTTCTTCCGGAGAGAATGGATTTCCAGGGACGCCGTAAGTTTACCGAAACTCTTGAGAACTTTCGCCCCCGCGACGTGTTACCGAAATTCCGCATCTATTTTAATAATTATATACTTTATTCATTTTAATTCCCTCCCAATTATCCGGCCACCCCAGTAGACGTCAACGAGGGTCGCTAAAACGTCGAACGTTGTTATTCTATGGTTTAAACCCACACGATAGGTATTATATACGTATACGAATGTATGTCATGCGTTAGACGTTCTCTGGACAATCGCAGATATCTAGGCTTGGTATATGAATATCCATGGTTGATATATGCCCTGTTTCCAGTAACAAGCCCTTACTTAGGATCGAAATAATGAACAATAAATGCTTAATTAGCATTATTCTCACCTATTACGTGAAGACGGACCGAGTTGGTGAGACCACGAGGCGTGGTGCATGTGTAAACTCCAGAATCCTGAGTTTTGGCGTAATATATCGAAAGCCGATACTTCCAATCCCTTTCCGAAGCTGCGATGGCCCATCCTGGGAATAAGAAAAAAGCCACATCAACCATTTTCCTCTAAACTTGGGTATTATTTCTTACGGTATGAAAATGTCTTGATTAAAAAAGACACTTTCATTAGGAAACAACTATAAGCCACCCCCGAGGGTCGATTAGCGATTCGGTAACAATGGCCATTAGTTCTCCCTCGTTCCCGGTTCCGCGTGAAATATTTCCGGAAGGCCTTTTCCTTGTCGGGACGACATACAATTGCAATCCTGCGAGGGGTGGACTCGGCCCATTATATGGTAATTAGTCTAGGAATGAATACAAATGTAGTACATAAATATAGTGGCGTTAGCAGGCCGAGGGTGGATCGCTCTTAGGGGTTGCCGGGCTCAAGTCCGATTAGTGAGGCCATTTTCTGCTTAACTCTTAAGATACGAGGGGACCAATTACTCCTTATCAACTAATAAACTCCTAATAAAGAGCGCGTTACCCCCTTAACGCGAAACCTTGATGCCTAACATTTTTTCAAAATGGCGGAAACGCGCTCTTTAGGGGGTAGAAGGAAGGAAGGACTCACCGGTGAGGTATTGTCGAAATGTGGACGTCCAGGTCCATTCCGGGTTGCCGAAGCGCCTCTCGAAGACGCACTCCAGGTGAAGTATACTCCCCGGGAAGACGGCGAAAGCCCCGGAAGGCTCCACGGCGGCGGATCCCGCAGGAAGTCCGAAGACTATCGTCGGCGGGACGTCCTCTGGAAGAAGAAAAAAAGAGACTAATGTACCCGCCAGTTCTTACAATCCTCGAAAGAAATTTCAATTTCCTCGCCATCGTGGAATTCACCATTCGGCATCATCATTTCCGCCGCCAACTTAGATACATGATCCCTCCCTACCTCCCCGACACCGGTTTGCAAGAATTTCAACATACACCTCATAAAAAACCAGATCCCGGGTGAAAAACCCATTCTGGATATTGAAATTCAACTTCCTGACAAGTTTTTCACATATTCCGGGGTGAATTCCTGTCTATTAGGGAGACGCGATCGCTTTTTGTAGGGAATTTCCTCGGCGTCCCCGCCGCCATCTTGGATACACGATGCCTCCCTTAGAGTCGACAATGTTTCGCAAGAATTTCAAGGTACACCTCATAGAAAACCAAATCCCGGGTGAAAAATCCGTTCTGGATATTGAAATTCAACTTCCTGACAAGTTTTTCACATATTCGTGCCTGTTGGGTGGACGCGGTCGCTTCTTGCAGGGAATTTCCTCGGCGTCCCCCGCCGCCATGTTGAATGCGACGACGCAGATACGCTACGTGTTTTTCCTCGCTTTCCCTTTCTCCATGGCATTATTCCACGAGGGAGGCCAGATTTTTAAAGCTCTCGACGTGTGCGACGGGAGATATACGCCGGCTTTTATTTACCCTTCCTTTTGCTCGCGTTTTAGGACCTCCGCCATGTTGGACGCGTAGGCCTTTGTCGCCGCGTCTACTTTTATTCCACCTCCCCGCCATGTATTACTCTCTTTCTCTATTTACACTACGCTGTTAAAATACAGACGCCCCTGTTCGTTACAAAAGACGTCCCCCAAAAATCCCAACAAACGCGTGAGGTCCATAAACAAATGCGCCATTCCGCGCTTCGCCAAGTAACTCCATCTCGCGGAAGCGGCAGAAAATGGAAGCTCTCGAGTGTTCCAAACGGGCGTATAATATATTTCCACGATGTGATATATGTATTAAAAATCCGAAAATGGCATTCCCGGTGGCATGCCTTTATCGCTCAGCACCGAGATGCGAAGAGGAACCTCCCCAGCACGAAATAGCTGTCGCTTTAGCCAACCTTTGAGACCGGCAACAAAGCAGAAAATTCTCGCCCAAGAATGCGACGCGACGCTAGCGCCAGCGGCGAAACTCGGTACCCGAGACCTCCGCTAACAAAGCGCTGCCGTCGCACACATGGAAAAATCCATCATCCACCGACAAAACCATCCAATATCAATTTTGTACAAATTTGTTCATAGATTTGACAATTTTTTAATAAAGAAATTAAATTCCATGAGCGTCGGTACCTTCCTTATAGCCTCCACATAGACGTGGTAAACTTCGAAACGACTCGGTGCACTTAATTAGGGGAACTTTCGTAAACGACGAAGTCCTAAGGTTCCACTTTCACATCCCCTTAATCCCAAGGTGTAAAAAAAAATCCAATGGACGGAAACTCACCCGTGAAATTGGAGATGATGGTTGTGGGGATGCAGGAGGGCAGCTTCCCGTTCCATCCGCCATTGCGACAATGCAAAAGAGGATCGCCGATGAACTTGTACATGCCGATCTCGCGACATCTCACCGCCACCTTATCGCCGTGAGGCACCGTGATTTTATCCACCTGAAAACAGGAGATCCCGTTTAATAACCATTTAATACCCCTTCGCAATTACGCGACCGAGGAGCCCCTTAAGGATCAGACGGGTCTTTTAAGGCTCCGGGCACCCCAGGTACCCGCAGACCTTAAGGGACCGAATTTAATAGCCATTTAATTGTTGGTAATTGCTAATATCGACCTAGACGTCGAGGAGGGGAATTTTAATTACAATCTTTGCAACAGTGTCCATAAAATGGCGGTGCTTCAGTCCTCTCCTAGTTTCAAAACTGTCTGGCATCGCGTAGTCTGTACCAGCCTTAAGGTGATACGAAAGGGCCTGTATGTACGAAACGTCAACAAAATCTCATCAAAATGGGTACATCTAATTATCGGAGACTTCAACAAGACCTTCATTGTGGCCTCCATACTCCCGTGTTAAAGTTACAAATTATCCGGTGCACCCATTTAGGAGAAAACTGTCGTAAATATTTTTCCGCTTTATATATAATACAATGGGTATGATAAAATGACTCTTTCGTGTCACCTTAACATTATTGTTTATTTAGCCCACACTAAAATAATGAACGGGTGAGCCGCAATCGGCGTTTCAAAAATCGTTTCCTAGGGGAAACGTCGGGAATTCAATGCACGTTTCCAATTTCCGGGATTCCGTTAATTCTAAGTCGTTGCAGATCGGCGCAAAGCCCTCGATGGAATCGTTAATACCTCTCCGAACAAAGAGCAGAGCCATTCGGGCAAGAAGCCACGGCGAAACGCCACAAAGAGGTCCGAGACAATCGTAGCGGCACTTCGACCGCAGCCGCGAGCGGCTTTTACGTCGCGGCTTTTCCGACGATCAGGGGAATCCCGGATATATCGGGAAAGGTTCGATCGCTTTGACGACCGTAATGGCGGCCGCTAGAATCCGATCGACGGGATTCCGGAAGGGAGCGATTCCTTTGCCGCGAACTTGGATCGAGAAATCCCTGCGGGATGCTCTGCGGGGGTTTCCCCTCACTCGGAGAAAGAAACGGAAGTGCGGGAATTACCGAAGGAGTCTGCAACTTCCGGAATCCGGATAACCCGCTTCCATAGCTGGATAAACGTTTCATCGTGATTCATTCCCCACTACGAGAGAAGGATCTAGTTAATTTAAATAGTTCCTTTTTAACGTTTTCAACGTTCAAAAAGGACCCTGATAATTTTCTACAGTGAAAGTAACTAGGAAATCTAGTGACAGTTACTAGATTATTATTTTCTAGGGAGTACGAACATTTCTACGCCTTATGTAGTTTAATTTCACAGCAACGAGTGGTATCTGCGTCCTTCTTCATTGCCCCTTATTAAACAAGGACAGATATACCACTCGCACCGAACTGCGTGAATCCCAGGAGTTTCGCTGCCGCTTTCGGCATTTCAAAGGCAATCACTTCAATCTGTAGTATCGGGAAAAATTAATCAGTAACTCTTAAGTAGATCCCTTCTCATTTAATAATTCACCTTAATAGAAAGCAAACACGAAGGGAAGAGGAAAAGCAACGAGCGGTATCTCCGTCCTTCTTCATCGCCCCTTATTAAACAAGGACAGATATACCGGTATCGCATCTCGTCGCGAACAGCGGGGAATCACGCGAGAGTTTCGCCGCCGTTTTCGCGTTACCTCGAGGAGATTAATGCGCGGATAGGAAGCAACGGAAAAGGGGAAAAGGAGGAAGGAACCATTGCCAACCGGATATGCCCTCCTTCCTCAAGAGTACTGCCGTGTACGAAACTCGTTTCGCCGGAACGCAACCGGAACTTCGGGGCTTTCAATTTCAAAACAATTCCCGCCCTCCCGGGGGCGTTAAAAACTATTTAATTTACGGGTTTTAAATTTCCCGTGGATTCCTGTCGAGGCAATAAGCCCGACTCGGCGGTTATTCCCCCTTTCCCTCCCACGCCTTTTCCAAGTTTTCGCCTTTGAAGTTTCGACGCCGGCGCAACCCTCGACGGTGGCGCCGCCCGCGGCTGCCTCGAGAAGTGGAACGCAGTCGCGGTTTTTCAAAGGAGGTTAAGTACTCCGAATTTCCCCGACACCACTGCCTTGTCGCCACGTCGAAGAAGGGAAATACTTCATATTATTGAATTCCATTAACGCGTTTGCGATTCCAAACGAATTTAATCACTGTAAACGGATTTTGAAGAAGAAAAGGAAACGCTACAACGTAATCCTGCTCTTCGGAACGTTCTTTGTATAATTATCGGCTTCGGCAGTGATCGGGATTTTGTTCTAGAGAGTTAACCAAATTCTGACTGGCATTTGGCAGGACAAGAGAAAATCGATAGCCGGTTTTGAAAATGACGTAAAGCCAGGTTAACTTCCCACCTCGCCTTTGGCTCTCTCGGAAGGTTCGCCTTTGAAGTTCGTCGCAGCCACCGACGCCAGCGCCGCCCGCGGCGCCTCCGAGAACTATAGGGCCGCGACGCTACCGGCTTTTCAGAGGTTAAATGCCTCCAGGTTACCCAAACTTGACGAATTTCCCCCAAAGCCGCTTGGAACTTGCGCGCGCATACACTGAGAGTGGGGAAAAAAAATCACTAGACAAGAAAAAGCGCCGCTAGATGGCGAGTGTTTCTCGCAAGCGACGCGGATCGCTCGCTTGCGTATAAGACCCTTAACTGACGCTACATTTTAATATACAGTTTTTCATATCACCTTAATACAGTCAACAGAGTTAATAAACGTAATTAGTGGAAGGGGTTCCCCAGATAAATGGGAGGCATTACTCTACAAACGACTCGATACTCGGTTCGGACTTTTTGTCCCCGTAAAGCAAGTCTAGGGACATAAATTGACATTAGAACGCGACTCGGGTTGTTGACAACGGCCGATTCGCTTTTTGCGTCTCTCGGTCTCTGCCCGGAGAAGTTCCTCGATTAATTTCCCTTTTCTTTGTTTGCCAGACCGTCTGGAGAAACGGGCGATCCCAGGAACCCCCGGAGACCTGGCAACGCCGGGCGCGTGCGCGCGCAGCCCTTGTAGTCCTTCTCTATTTGCACACTTCATGGCCCAAAACGACAGTCTAGTTTTTCACCCCGGGTTGGTTGATTGCTGCGGGAATATATTTTGCTACGAATCCTAGTAAGCTTGCAGAAGAGTGGCCCGACAGTTGTTCAGTTTCCCGCCTCGAATTTTGAATCCGGACGCCATCTTGAATTTCAGAGATCCAGGAAGTGAGGCCCGTTTGCTGCTCTCAATTGACGCATTTCCCGGTCTCGGATGTCACCTTAACCGTGATTCTTTAATCCCGGTTAAAGAAACTCCAGTTAACCGAGGTTTAACAGTTTCCTACGCGGTTTACACCTGCGCGCCCCGCTTAAACTCCGGTTAACTCGAGATGTGAAACGGTTTAAGCCCTACCGTTAACTTGTTAACCGAGATCCTTCAGTGGCTTTTGCACAATCGTCCATTTAAATATTCTCCCTTTTTTTTAGTAAAAATATCAGGGAATTTCCACTCTATCCGAGGAATCGACCGTATCGGTAACTTGATTTTTGGTAACCGGAGAAGTCACGGATTCGCTGATTGGCTCGCGGAACTTCGTTACTTTTTATCAAATTTCCCTCCCCGGAATTTTATCGGAGTCGTTATTGCCGGGAAAATTGAGAAGAGCTCGCTAAAAACTGACTTTCGACCCGCGGAAGCAGAGCTTTCGCTAACGCGAACTCAATTCTCACATTTTCCTGCCCAATTTCGAAATTCCCGCCCAACAAATGGACACTAAAAGGGAAAAAATGGAACGCGATTAAGTATTTCGAAATGTATCGGAGCGCACCCCGCGGCAAGAGCGGTAACTACACGAATCAGACGTTAGATTCAGTTGCGGTCTCTCACTCACCAGTGGCGCTAGTGTACATAAGTTCTTCTAAGTTAAGTAACTTTAGTTTCTTTACTATATCTTGAATTACGTTACAGTATCGAAACTGCATCAGTACCACTTGAAATATAAGCTCCAGCGATCGAGTACTTATGTATACAAATAACCTAAAAAAAAAAGTGAAATGACTGTAATCAGCAGTTGTTCGACATTAACTTTTTCCTTTTAAAGGAGAAAACATAACCTGCAAACGGCCCAGGTAATGGAACATCTATTTGAGCTGGAACTTTTAACCGTAATTATGTTAACCCTATTTCATGAATGAACGCCGTGTAATTGGTAAACCTAACAGGAAATGGAGCACTTCCTCTTTCGACTGCTTTTTATCTGTAATTACATTAACCTTATTCCCGAGGTACTCGATACGAGATGAGCCGGAAAATCGTGAAGGAAAGACGTTAACCGAATCTTCTGCAAACGGCTTCATTTGGTTCCGCGGACGGGGGAACATAACCTGCAAACTATACCGCGAATGGAGTACTCCCTCTGTTTTAACTGCACTCGAACCTCCTTTCGAGCGTCATAAAATCGACCTAGTAGGTGCGATACTCGATACGAGAAAAAGACCCGACATCCGCCATTCGATTCCATAAAAAGAGAACCTAACCTGCAAACCGAGATGGATTACATTCCACATACCCTAAAAATTGTCTACAGCGTACAGGACCCCATTGTTACGGGGCTGTTTCGGTTCTGTTTCTTTCCTAACCTAAAAGGAAAGAACGACCCATAAGTGTGTTTAATCGGACTTAACCTCAAAAGAATCGGAAACAGAAGAGGATTCGGATTAACCGTCGAAAGGACGCAATCTAAAACCGAATTAGAAGGATATAAGGGTGGAGGCGACACCGAAGGAGGGAAACAATTCATCCTGGGGGAATTCGACGGAGCCATTAGGGGAGATTTGCAAGACAAGGAGGATATCGATCCGGGCTGTACAAAAGGACGGAAAACGCCGGAGGGAGGAGGAGGAAAAATTAAGGAAATGAGCAAGCCGTGCCTCCCGTCCCTCGGGCGATCCTTCAGGACGAATCCTAGACAGAGGAGGAGGAGGAGGAGTCGATACTTTCCCTCCCAGTTTCTCCAGGATGAGCGATGGGAGAAGGAGCCGGGGGATATCCTCGGGGAAGGACCCGGGTGGAGGCGCATTATCCTCATGAATATGCGAGATTAATGGCGCCTTCGCCGGGGGTTAACGTCGACCGGCGGTTCCTTTTGTGATGGCCGCTATCCCGTTTCGGGATCCTTAGGGGTCACTCCTTCCCGCGTTCGATCAACCTGTCGATTCGCATTAATCCGGGTCCCGACCCTCCCGATCGTTTCCCTTGGAGGGATTATTCCTACCGATGTACACGTTCGCCGTCGCTACTCGATAAGGAGGCATCTACGTTCTAAGGACACCCAATTCCAGGGATGTTCCCCTTTTTCTAGGGGATTTTACTCGTGGTTCGTCTTAAGAAGGGATACAGGACAATGCTAGGTGAAATCCTTGATTAGGGAGAATTTTCTTATCAGCAAGGAATTTTTTTTTAGGGTAATCTAGTATAGAGCCTAGGGTAATCGAGTATAGAGCCTCCGTCACTAAGTGTGCTTGTCGCGGAACGCTACCGAATTTTTTCTTTTTTTTTTTCTAATCGGTTCCCCATTATTAATGGAGCTTTCTCCAGATGGGTTGCTCTCACAAATCACCCCAAGATTTTTCTGCCTATGTAGATTTACTACCCCGGGCTTATCGGCGCCTCGGGGCCGTTTGAAATTCCCGCGCTAATGATATTCAAACGCTGGATTAAGAACTTACCGATATGGTGATGTTCTTGTACGTGACGACGACCAACGGATGGAGTCCCTCGAGTTTGCAGCCTCGCTCGGGTTTCTCCTTCTCTGAAAGGGAAATTTTTATTAATTGTATTAGATTTATTAGACTTTTTAGAAGAATCGCTTAGGTGGAGTTTTCTAAAACCTTAAATCCCATGGAGGTATAAATGCATTGGTTGAAATGACCGCTAAGGGGGCTTGTAATTAATTCCATTGTGTCTCTTGTTGCCCGATTTCAATTAGATAATATTATTTTGATAACCCCACCCGGGGAGGTTAATGTTCTCCGATACGGCCCCGCCATTTTCCTAACAGAGCAGGCCGCCATTTCGCGATACGTTATCGATGGTTAACATCGCCACGGAATAAAGGACCTTTCGTATGCCCAGCTAATTACCGCAGTTCTGTAATTAGCTCTAGCCCCGCCCTGATTGTCGGGGAATAATATAACCGAAATGCCATTTGAAGCCATTTTGGTTACGGTGACCACCGACGGCGTCCAAAATGGCGGCCAAAATGGCGGGGATTTCAAACCTCCGCGGATGGAATTCCCAAATCGCTTTCAATTAGCATTAGTTCGTATCTGCTCAAGCTTAATTACTGATTTTGGACGACGCTCGTTTACTTCGGGGTTTCATTATTGCCACCAATTAACCGGAGATTAACAATCCCGCATTTAATTAACAACTGCGAGCTCCGCCATTTTGAAACGCGTTATCGATACCGCGTACTTGAAACTTTTAACTGGCTATTTATTTAATATACCGTGTTTACCATCGTACGATAATTCCAATTGTTGCCGGGAATCTAAGCAACAAATTGATTATCGTTAAAATGTCGCCGACGGACCTAATGGTATAAAGAAAAAAATAATTGTACGATAAAGTTTCCCCAGAAAATATCGCAGAAGGAAGTAATTTGGTTGCACTTGTTAAGAACGAGTTGCATCAACTTTTCTCGAGTTTGCAACAAATAAAGAACTATTAAGTGGGCCAGTAAAGTCAAGTTAAAACGCAGGCGAAACTAATTAACAACCATTGTTTACATTTTGAAACTCTCCTCTCCGCCGTCGAGCCCCAGATTTGCATACCCAAAACTTTAGAAGAAAAAAAGAAACGACGAAACATTGTTTGCAATAATAACGCCAACAATCCCCTCGTACACGTTCTTTCTTTTTAATGACAATTTAACCGACGAAATTTCTTAGACAATGGCGCCATTGAAAATACAATTTGAAGGAATAAGGCATAAATGGACATTAATGGACAATAAAAAAAAAATAACCGCAAACAGCGATTATTTATTATACAAAAGCCTAGCCCGCACCACTGAATGCATATTGCGAGCGTCATTAATTATTTCTGGCCGCGGTGATTTGAAAAGCCCGCCACTTTTGGCCCCGGGAATAATTAACTGGTCCCCGGAGTTGCAAATCGGCGGTTATATTGTTTAACCTGGAAAGTGTCATTCGGGGCACTGTGTCAGCATTTATTATGAAGATGTGGATTCGTTAATTGTTCAGGACCCTCTAGTGGAGTTAATCCACTTTGAAGGGTCCGCCATTTTGGTGCTCTCAATTATTAATTACTCTCCCAGCAGAAGTTAAGTCTGTCGCGCATTTCAGACTGCTGGTTTCTTTTTTATACTCGTCTGGAAAACTAAATTATAATGCCGATTTACAACTTCGCCATTTTCACACGTATATACATAAATATCACGTTTTGTCGAAGATTTTGTACTACGGGAACTGCGCTCTGAAAAATCAAGATGGCGACCTAGGGACGCCTCAAGTCGGCGTCGTTTTTCGTCTCTTATAGGTGTCCAGAGCCTTTTTAATTATTCCCTCAGGCCGAAAGTGGTAAATAAAAGGATCCCGGTTTTTTTAGTCGTTTCAAATATACATAGTTCACGCTTTGCCAAGAATTTCGAAGGCCGAATTGCGGACCGCGACTTAACCAACTTTTTCCAACTTTCCCGGGGGGAATTTCCCTTTTTATCGAATAGCTGGAGGGGAATTTCCTTTTTTATCCAATTTCCCGGGGGCAATTTGCGTCGGGCTCCGGCATTATTTTCTTAGATGAGTTTCTTCGCGAGGACCGACACATGCCATCGCGGTCTTCGGTCGGAAAAAGCAAGATGGCCGCCGGTGGCGCCGCGGCTCGGAGTTCGGGGCCAACTCGAGGCTTCGGCGGGAAATTGGATTTAAAGTTTCTCCTTGGTAGCCACGGTCCCTGGCCATTATAAGTTTTAACGAAGACCTAAGCCGAGGCTTGACCGATATTACGGAGAACGCGTCAGAGCTCTTTGTGTTAACCCTTTCGGTATTCGCCGGACGTCGGATATGGCTAATCTCGGATTAAGTTATCTCGCATACGCAATACATACGTGCCGCATAATCACCGGTAATCCCGGGAACTCAAACTGATCCTCTTGGAATTCCAAATTCGACTCAAAATAATTTTCGTTATAATTCAAATTCGACTCAAAAAAATCCTCCTTAAAATTCAAATTAGAGCCAAACTAATCTTGAAATTTCAAATTTGACTCAAAATAATTCTACTTATAATTCAAATTCGACTCAAAATAATTCTCCTTATAATTCAAATTCGACTCAAAAAAATCCTCCTTAAAATTCAAATTAGAGCCAAACTAATCCTGAAATTTCAAATTTGACTCAAAAAAATCCTCCTTAAAATTCAAATTGTACTCAAACTAATCCCTTTGAAATTTCAAATTCGACCCAAAACAATTCTCCAGGAATCGCAGATTCGACTCAAAATACTTCTCCTTAAATTTTACATTATCAAATCACTCTTCCGTATAATCGAGTTCGCTCAAACGACGAAATTTCTGGATTTATCTCCGAGTCCTGAGATTCGCGCTCCAGTAATTCCTCGGATTCCACCCCGAAGATGCTTCCCGCGATTCCTGGAGGAATATGGAGAGGAAAAGGGAGACATATCGGGGATGCAGCGTAATCGCCGGGCTTAAACGTCGGTATGCACGTACCCTGCATTACCGCCTCCAACCATTATGTAAATCGAATCCCGCGAATCGCGTCTTGCGAGGTTAGCTTCGGGATTTCGTTCTTCCTCAAAAAAAGGTTAGGAAACCCGCGGAGAGAGATATATTAACGAATTAATTAAATCTTTAATCGATTCAACGATAGAATATGATCATTAAGGGGATGTGAAAGTGGCAATTCGAATCATTTGAAACATCCCATGATAAAGAAACTTGATAGAGTTTCGACGCTCTCAGGATTTAATTTTTCGAAGGAAAAAGGAAGAAAAAAAAATTCTTCTCCCCCGCGATAAATATGAAAATATTTCTGGAAAAAATATAAAAGAATTCCTCACTCTTAGGGGAAGTTCAGAAGAGATATAGATTCGAGGGAAGATTTTTTTCGCGGGGCCGAAACGCTGGACATAACCTGTACCGGAAGTGGACGGTAACAAAAGGAAGGCATACATTATGTAACGCTTTGTCCGGACAGTTTCCTTTTTTTCCTCTCTCGGAGTAATTTCCCACTAAGCCAGGAGCATTTTCCCTCCGTCAGTTTCAACCTTTCTGTCCGTGACGACCTCATCGCTCTTAGAATTACATCTCGGTAGGAAGAAAAATGGCGAAAACGTTTGAACGATCGATAAGTAAGCATTCCCGCAACGTCGACGCACTTTCGCATAATCGGAGAATTTTTTCAAGTATTTATTAAACCCTTTCACATCGCCTTAACGCTCCGAATATGGATTTTAAAATCGACGCCCCAAAACACTAAAAATATTTTGGAGTATTTATTAAACCCTTTCATATCGCCTTAAGGCAGCGGATCTCGATTTTAAAATCGACGCCCCAAAACACTAAAAACGTTTTATATAAATATTTTGGAGTATCGATAAATGTAATGACCCTTTCACATCGCCTTAAGGCACCGAACCTCGACATTAAAAATCGACGCCGCAAAAAACTGAAGATAGGAAAGCGTAAAACTAATAGATCATACACACCTTGCTTGGCATGGCCGAGACCGGAAGTGGCCAGTAGCAAGAGGAAGAAGAGCCGAGCCGCATTCGGCATGTCATTCGTCATAATACGGTGTCACCTGTTTGGCACGCACTTCCACCCCCCCACGTCACTCAAACCATCGTCGCTTCCGGCAAGCCGGAAGTCGGCGAGAATCACCGAAACGAGACACCGTCGAGACACCGCGAGACCGGTCTACATGTTTCCGGGGGACCGACTTCCGGATAGCACGTCCGACCTCGTGGGTGGCCGCCGCGATACTAAGCTCGAGGTGGACCGACACCACGACGGTAACCCCCGTTCCCCCTGGTGGACGGGGTGGAGTTGGATCCTATATTCCGACCGGGTTTGGGGGGCGCGCGCATGCGCGGCGGCGGCCGGCCGAGCCGTAGTGGGCGCCCCGCAGCGCGCGCCCCCGGAGTCGTGCGTGGACCCCCGAGGGGGTCGGACCTGCGCCCAAGGAGCTCCGCTGGATCCACGCGTTCCTCTTCTCCCTCCTTTCCCTGTACGTCGCTACCAGAAGACTGGTAAGAGATTATGAAATTTAGACCTTGATATCTCGATAACCCCATGGCTTCAATTTCTTTATTAATATATAAGGAAATGCCGCATCGACAAGAGCCCCTGGCGAACGACCAGGAAATCCCGGCCTTGATTTCTGTAATTCCACTGTATCGATCTCATGTCCCACCCGAAATATATTTACGGTGTACATCTATAAATAAAGAAGTACAACTACACCTCCGGTACATTATTTTTTATGCATCCCATTTATCTGCAGCGGAACGAATATGGCGGCGCACGAAGCTACGCTCAGCGATATGAATTTCATATAAACGGCCACTGTGGTTCCATTTGAGCATCAACGCAGATCATTTTTTAATACGAAGCTTTCGTTATATAATATATCCCATGCGTCACTGAATGCAGTGAAATGCCGCATGATGCCGACAGGCAGCTCCAAATGGGTCCTCGAAAACGATCGGCCATCTTGTTCGCCGATTCGCGCGGGAAATTTGAAATAGGCCGCGGCAACCCATGATCACTGGGTCGCGGCGATTCGTTCGAAAGGGGGAAAAAAAGAGGAGGCAAAGAATGGAGAGGACGGAGAGACACGTCGATAGGACGTAATTTGATTGGATGGGATATTTCGGTTTGGGTTGGGAGCCGCGGCTTAACGAGACTTCCGGTCTTCGGGTCCGGACGCTGGAACCGGGAAATCGATCAGGACAGCTCGATCTGTCTCGGCCCTTCCCTCGATTGACAATCACCCGACAGAATTGTACTTCCGTCCCGACGCCCGACTCTTTTCTTTTCCCACGGGTCCCCCGAAATTCATCCTTCCCCGAGAATGGCCGCGAACAATGGACATGACCCTTTCGAAAGCGTCCCGACATTTCAAACACCTTCGAATATAAATATAAACATAACAGGAACTTAATCGACGCGAATAAAATCAATTTCATCTATATACCCTTTCTGGCGGCGACGCCATTTTGGATACTCAAGCGGTAACATAAAATGGATATTAATATTCATATCGAGGTCTTCTACACTCTACGTTGAGAATTACACGAACTTAAGGGTCCTATACGTTATTTCGGTAAATATTAAAGTATGAGTACGGTCCTAAAAGGGCCCACAATGAAACGTCTTCAATAGAACGCACTTACTGGGGGAATACTTTCGATTAGTTGCAGTACTCCTCACCAGAGGGAGAAACGTCGTTGCGGCGCTAGAGGGACCGCCGTGCAAAACAGTTAACGTCCTTATTACATTCCGTAGTAATGAATTCCGCTCGAATGGCCGCCTTGGCGGAAATTTCGAGGTTAGGTTAGGTAGCGCGAGTAGACGCGACAGTTAGGACAGAGGACCAAAAAGAGACGGATGGATCGACGTAGAGAAGAGGAGAGAGAGATAGAGAAATAGGAAACCCTTTGGAGGAGACCCACCGACATGGGGAAGGTCCTTTCCTAATTCCTAACCCGAGCAATAAGACCGCCTTAATGCACCACGCTCGAGAATCCGGAGCCCCGAAAACTCCAATTAACCTCCGAGCTAACTTCGGCGCAGAACTAACGCGACCCACTTCTTTCCCGGTCCTCCCTGGAAGTGCAACTCCCGCGTTCATTTCATTAAATTTACAGGTTAATTGGAAAGGTAGAAATTAAGTAATCGTGAAAAGAAAATCCGAGGTGGGGGAGCGCTCTCTACCGCGGGGGAAGATGGCCGCCGCACGCGACCCGTCACGTGACGACCCCTGATTGACAACTTATCCCTGAACACATACGAAACATAAGAACGTCTCTCTAGAAAAAACTGCTTTTTCTTTCTTTTAAGACACTTCCAGTCTCTTTTGGAAACAATTCCCCTAGAAAACTTCGGATTCTCCGAACTATTACTTTTCCTACCGGCTTAATTAACCGACAGGAGCGCGCGGTGTCTCTTTTTATTACTCCGTCTTTTTTCCCCGCGTCCTTTTCCTCGTGCAGAAAGGAACAAAAAGGGGGAAAAAGTCCGGCTCTCCGCGGGCATAATCCGATAAATATGGCGCGCATCTCGCGCGGCGACACGCCGGAAGAGAGAGAAAAAAGAAAAAAGAAGATGGCGCCACCCGGGGCCACGGAGTGCTCTCCGGACGAAAATTCCGCCGGATTGTCCGCCCCGGACGTATGTCCGTCCGCCGGGGAAAGATTCCCAAGTATTTCCCCGCTGCGAGCATTAATCTCACCCCCGGGTCGCTAATGGACGGCGAGAGGCCCGAGGGTGGACATTTTGTTTGACGGTGGCGCCGCCGTTCGGCGAATTTTTCAAATTAATCCACGGATTTAATGGAAGACTGGGTTTTTGCGCTCCAAGATGGCGCTGGCTTCGAGTAAGCGCACGGACTTTAATGAAAATGGCCCATAAAGTGTTCCACTTCGCCAGGAAGTAATCCAACCAAGAGAGGACGTTCTTGTGTTAAAAGGAAAAAAAAAAATGTCATTCACGTTAACGTTAACCTATACGTTACGCTAGCGTTAACCTATAGCTCAGTTTAGAACCACGGATTAACTAATCCGAAGGAGCGGTACCAATCGTGACGTAATTGAGCGGTATGGTCATAGAGGCGGATATTCATGAAGCGTCGAAAAAGACACCGTTTCCACTAAAGCGATTCCGTTCGTTTCCCGGAGAGACTCGGTTAATGTAACGGCGCTCTTCTTCGGATTCTCCGTCGAGATAGGAAGGTCCTTAACGAAAGTTTTAATAACTAGGATATCAGGAGCACTGTCGTCACGTCGGACGTTGAACAGACGCCGGGTAAGATTTATGTCGGTTATTGTCCCGACTCATTAAGCCCTCTAAGTAGTCGACACTAACGCCACCTTTATGCTGATTTATGGTAACGAGGTACTAGCTCCACGGAGCATAGTTCGCTCTGCATGTGAGTTTCTATGCTCACGTGAACCGAGCGCGAAATATCCCTAAAAACTAGGGGAAAAAAAAAACAACAACGAAGAATTGGCAAAATTCAAAGTAAAAATCCCGAATATTAAGATATACGACGATAAGCTCTGATGTTAATATCCTAAAATTGAAATGAGCCTATTTTATTAAATACCCGTTCATCTGCTATAATAATAATGAAAAAGAAAATAAAGAACATGACCCAAATTAAATGGGAAAAGAGCGGTCGGTGAGAATTAAAGCGAGAAGCTTTGAAGTGTGCCCCGGCGAATTAAAATAAGCTGATCTTAAAAGGCTCATTTGTCTACCATCACGCCGCCATATTGCCTGAGAGGAGGAACATAATGGCGAGATATTCCTAAAGGATAATAAAAAGGAACAGGGAGAGGAAGGACGTCGAAAATTGGAAGGAAAAAATTAAGGACAACAAGGACCAGAACGGGGCGCACTTTGATGTTTGCCCTGGTAAATTAAAGTAAGTCCTTTAATTGCAGACCGCGGCCCTGCCTTTCGGAAAAGCCGCCATTTTGTCTGGGGGAATAATACCGCGGGAAGAAATTCCCAGAAGGTAAGGAAAGAGATGAGAAAATGAAGAATGGCACAAAATTACGGATGGACCACTTTGACGTATGCCTCACTTAATTAAACTAACCCGTTCAATTAAATACCGCCGCCATTTTGTCACTTTGCATTGGACCCTGGAATTATTCGTTGCGTTTATTAATATCTTCCACGTAGAATGACCCTTTCGTGTCGCCTCAAGGTGACAAAGGTACAAAAAGGATAAAGACCCTCCTCTCTAGCATCTCGCATCGGAAAAGTACGTCGTGCTAGTCATTTCGAGCTCTTTAAAGCGATTACCTTTATGCCCCTTTGGAAGAAACTTCCACTGGGTCTAGGGACCCTATCGGGTCCATTAAACTTTATCGCCAATAACCGCGAAACAATAGCTGTTGGGCCAATAAAACTTACGGACCCAATAGCGATGTTTCGAAATCCGACATTAAACTTCAATATCCCGATAAACTCGTGTAAATAAAAACAAATATCACCATTAAATATACTATATCACCACTGGTGAATTTTCACCCTAAGGCACTTAAGGATCATCCTACACATAATTGCTTATTAATTACATACGGAATACCGCCATCTAAAAAAATTCCAAATATAATTCCAGGCTGCTGTCGATATGCATACGAAGGTGGGTAAGGTAGGCATCTATAAGAATCCCTTTTGCCGACGTCGATAGAATTTCCCACCGGCTTAACACGCCGTGTACATTCATTACAGTCGATTGTTTCCCCGTGACACTTTCCTTCGCGGTTCCTAAAGTAAAGCCCCTCTAACTTTTCCAGAAAATAGGGGATAATGTTATCAGTCAAGCATATCAAGATACACGGCATGAAGGACGACAGGTGGACGATAAAGGACAAGCTGCATCAATACCGCAGTGTCCTCAAACTACACGGTCAGTGCCCGAACCCCTCCTCTACAAACAATTCCAATTGTCCCCCGGTAATTTTCCCCAGCTCGTGACAAAAACCTAGAAGCAATAAATGCGACAAACCTGAAGAGAAAATTATCCCGGGATTTGAAGTCGCTGACAACGGACGTAAAGACTTACAGGGGCATCATCACCGACGTCCTCGCCGGCGACAAGAGGAGACTGCACACAGTTCTCCAGGACCACCGAGACTTGCAAATGGCTTACCAGGATTACAAACCGGCGGTAATGTTAAAAAATACCCTCCTCAGATTTGTCAAGACCCTGCGAAGTGATCCGTAGGTCTGATTTCCCTCAAAACCCCAAAAACCAAAGCCCAACCCTATTCAGGACGTCTGCACAGCGGTGGATAAGGACAACGACAAGCGTCGCAAGCTAATCGACAAGATGTACTACAAAAAGAAACAAAAAATCAAGATATTCTTCGAGCTAAAAGTAATCCTAATGATAATTCTTACGGCGTTGATTTTTTTTTTTTTTTAACTAAAACACGATTTTTACCAACCCAACTTCGGAAATGTCCTGCGAGCGGCTTTTAGATATACGAAGCGTTGCAAATGGGAATAAATGAAGTTATTAATTTTCCGTGAGGAAGTTGGAGAGTGCTCTGCTGATGGACAAGCAAGAGCAGCAACGCGAATGCGAGCCAGATTACGAGCAACAACGATTAGTGACGCTTTATCAGCAATCGGTCGCTAAGGAGACTGCAGCCAAAGCGATACGTGGGACTTATTTCAGCATGTTGACCATCTTAAAGAAGGCTGGTGGATTTTATATAATTTATTAAACCAAAGTTTGGCTCCTTTGCCTCCTAAGAGCGTTTTGGTCGAATATCGCCTGCACGGTCAGAGGAATTTCGCCCATATATCGAGATGGCTCAGTGTACAGGGGTCAAGGTGATATGAAATGGTCATTCTATATAAATAAAACCTTTCTCAACGTGTTTCACTTCACCTTAACCCTTTTTTTTTTTTTTCTAACTTATTAATCCAAAGTTTAACTCTTTAGCGCCTTAGTCGAATATCGCCTGCACGGTCAGGGGAATTTCGCCCATATATCGAGATGGCTCCGTGTACAGGGGTCAAGGTGATATGAAATGGGCATTCTATATAAATAAAACCTTTTTCAACGTGTTTCACTTCACCTTAACCCTTTTTTTAATTTATTAAACCAAAGTTTAACTCTTTGGCGCCTTGGTCGAATATCGCCTGCACGGTCAGGGGAATTTCGCCCATATATCGAGATGGCTCCGTGTACAGGGGTCAAGGTGATATGAAATTCATCATTCTATATAAATAAAACCTAAAAGTATTGATAAAACCTTTCTCAACGTGTTTCACTTCACCTTAACCCTTATTTTTTTTTCTCTAACTTATTAATCCAAAGTTTAACTCTAAAAAGGGAAAGGCTATGACGATGTTACGGCGCAAGGTATAAATAAATATCTCGTTCAACCAGGACTCGATATTCTTCGACGCCGTTTTAAGCCAACTAAGGACCGACCAGAAAGACCAATGCAAAGTAATTCTGCGGACGACGATAATGGGCCAACTTGCGGCGGAGAATCTCGACGACACGAGGGATAAATACAAAAGGATGAAGCAGGACGTTTTGATTAACATGAGGGAGAGAGAGCGCACCCTGAAGACCGTCCGCGGTCAGGTCGACGACTTATGGGCGCACGCGCAGTCGCTAGTCCGAATTGAGGTTAGTATCCGCAACCTCCGTTCGAAAGGAAGGTCTATACGGGATTTAAAACGGCCCGTTTAATGAAACTAGTTCTCTGTCTTCTCGCTCAAAAATGTATCTGGCTCGAAACTCTACCGAGTTTCTTAATTGCATACTAACTACGACTCACCGCGTCCTCTTCGGGGTAAGGGCACCCTTTTGGAACGTGGTGGAGGCTCTACGAGCACCTGCGCAACACTGCATATCAAGTGTTGCGCACACGTATAAAAAGAAATGCTTCATATAAGTATAGGGGATAGAGTAGAAACTGACTCGTGGCGCCATCTTTGAACGAGAACTATAAGGTATTCGCAACCTCCGAAAGGAAGGTTTACGCGGGGTTTAAAATGGCACGTTTAATGAAACGAATTTCTTAGTTAGATCCTAAGAACGTATAAAAGAACGTTCAAATTCAAAATGGCAGGTTTAATGAAACGAATTTCTTAATTACATCCTAAGAACGACGCGCGTGTAAAAGAAAATGCTTCATATAAGTATAGAGTAAAAACTGACTCGTGGCGCCATCTTTGAATAAGAAGGATAAGTTCACAACGCAACAACCCTTTCTCACCCTTTGACGGAACTTTACCGACAGTAGTTCATACATAAAAAAAAGCGGCACAATAGATAGAAAACCAGAAAAATATTTTAAGTACTTGCCTCCGTTTAGTTACAATGCTTGGACGTCAATAATCGCGTAGTTGTTTTCTCAGCATATCGTCAGTTGGTAATACGAAATAAAATATATGTTACGTATTTTAGAGCGACGCGAATTTTGGGGAAAAGAAACTTTCAACTCCGACTGACGAGAAGGCTCTAGAAAATCAAATTCGTCACGTCGAGGAAATTTTTGACAAGATAAAGGATTCGATGCTTGTACGCTCTTACGAGGAACTACTGCCCAGGTAACTTTGACTCGTGGCGAATCGATGGGATATCATTTTAATTATATGAAGTTCTTCTTAAATATATCTCTCTTAAATAATCAAATGAATATATGAATTAAGTAAATAAATGCATCTGCCAAGTTATGTACATTCTTTCAGACTCGAGGAGCAAATGAGACAAAAGGCTCGTCTAACGGAACAGTATAATTACAAATTGAGGGAACGAGACTCCTATTTAAATAAAAAGAACCACGCCCTTCTGAAACTTGCGACATTGGAACATTCGATGGTTTCCACTACTGGCCAGTATGTATCGTCGATATTTATCGATGAAACTTACCCATGCTCTTCGTTTCCATTTAAAAAAACCCATCGGTCTGTAAAATCCCTTAAGAGCTAGTATCGACTCATCGATTACTTTCCTTTTATTTCTAAACAAATTTTATATGCAAGTTGATTGCAGGGACTGCGATACACGAGGGGAAATTCTTTATCGATAAATGATCTTATGAATCATAAAAGATACTGCTTAGGTACAAAATGGAGAAGAAAACGATGCTGCAAGAAATCGAGGAGCAAAAGAAACGTGAACGCGAGTTAAAGGATCTGAGAAAAGTGCGGGGCGAATTGTTGATGAAAATCAGAGCTGCGCTGCAGAACATGGCCACAATGTTAGTCTTCGTAAAGGTCGATCCAAAACTTGGAAAGAACGTGCCGAAGGACAGTGGGAGAAAACAAGACAAGAAAAGGGCCAAAGAGGAAGATAAAGAAAAGGAAGAAAACGAGAAAGTGGAGAAAATGGAAGGCGAAGGGCCTCAACTCGAGAAAATGGAGACTGACGGTAAATCCTGGAAAAATGATATATTTCAGTTTAATCCACGAGGGAAATATTTTCTTACGTCTGAAGTGGAAGCGGAATACAAAAACCATTCTCAATTACTTTTATCTAAAATGTACAGAAACATGTATCGATTGCTGTTAACCTATAACATCAGGGATTAAGTATTTTATTTAACACTCTGTAAAAAAAGATGAACCAATGTTTTAGGACTAGCTCTTTTGTCACAAGTCACGAAGAAAGTTAGCGTCCTCTTCAACATGGCTGGTTTCGAATTGGATGAGGAAAGAGAAGCGAGAGCTAGAGATTTATACCAATCCTACATATCGGACTACAGATCGAAGCTGATGTTTGGAAACGGAGAACCAGAACAAATCGGTTCGTCATTCTACGCTATCAAAATTAACATTTACTGCATCGATTACCAATAGCACAATCGAGAAATAATCTTAATAGATTAATCTGCTGAATTATCCAATATTTAAAGGAATAATCTAGTGGAAATTGCAAACGTCACAATTCCATGACATTGTTTAACAATCTTTCAGGTATATTTGTGGAGCACGAAGTAATCGACTCTGTGGTACTAACTAGAGCGGACATCAAATTGCAAAGCCGACAAATAGTTGAAGCAAATTTGAAACCCGAGTGACTAATGATTTTCTGTATTTATAATTGGCACGCCACTAGCAATACAGAATTTGAATAAAACACCATTCCCAGTTAAATGTCAGACTACGAGCACATTGTACAATATATATTTTCTCGATACATTTCGATTCTTCGGAACATTGAAAATAGATATCAGTTTGACGAATCAAAAAAGCTGGACAATAAAATCCAGAAAAAAATGGAAGGGAGAGGAGCGGCTGTGAAATTTATTATATAAATTGTGTACCTGTGAGACTACTTCTGGCATGACTTCTGCAACGGCGTTGGGATGAACCTCGGAAGACCTTTATGATAGTTCGTTGATTCGTCCCCATCTTAACCTCTCCTTCTTAATTTCAGTTCTCAGCCACGAAGGAATCTCCTCGTTGAAGGGATGTGCATTCGGATACTTCAAAGATGGTGGCGGAGCTTTAAATGGATGAACTTTCTTCATCTTCCTCAGGAAGAACTCCTTGTTAATTTGTTTCTGATCGCGATACCTGTCAAGGTATAGGTTAAAAGCCTGTTTCAGTGGAAACCAAGTCTGTGGCTTGAGATAATGCTCCGGAAAGTTGTACTCAAACACAGGCTCCATCATTTCTAAAAAGTAGTGTTAAGGAGTACGTTAAGATTCGTCGATTCTCTATTTCACATCAAGAAAGTATGTAGCGAAGACTTACGCAGGGTGTTGTGATAAAAATCTGTGAGTGAATGGTCCCAATCTGATTGAAAGAAAGTAAGGCCTGCCGGAGTTAGATAGTCTTGGTGCTCTCGATAGAAATCTTGCGTACTCCAGTTGCGCTCCGTCAGGGATAAACTAAAACCAAATAATTTATAGGAACTTCCTTCGCATCACAAAGAATGAATATTACGATGCTCACCATGGAATCGTCTTCTTGTACTTTGAATAGTCCATTAATTTATCTTGCTTGTAAAGCACAAAGATGTATCTACAGTAACCGATTCCACGCGCTGGGAAAGGCCTTATGTAGTCTAATAACAGTTCTCCCTTCTCGATACTATTGCCTGGTATGTTTCCTCTAAAATTAATACGAGTCTATTATATAGCGAAAAATATAACCTGTCTAAATTATTCTGTAAAACAATTCCTTCGCATTCCTTTTTTTTTATGCAAATGAATCGAACTTACATGAACCAGTGACAATATTCCAGATCCTTGCTAGTCAAATTACCATCAGGAGTCGTGAGCAAAAGAGTCCACAAACTATCAGGATCGGCCTCGTAGGACACTTGAGGAACATTCTTTGCTTCGTTCGGCTTAATTATATTTCCCGTGTATACTTTTGCATACAAGTCTTCTTCCTCGATGTTGTACCCAACATTGAGCGGAACGACAGGGACAAAATATGCGTCGCCATAAAGATCTTTAAAGATACCAAAATGCTCCGCAATCCTGTGTATGTGACTCGGACCGATTGTTTTGCTCCAATCTCGCCTCACTTTATCCAAATCAACCGATACTACGAATACGAAATGATTTTTGTAAAGCGATTGCTTATACCTTAAACTGTTCTTGCTTAAAAGTGTCATCCTAAACATTTCTTAATTTCTAAAAACTGCCTAAATAACCGAATCGATTAATATACAAATTAAGGCTAATCAACAACTCCTTCAAAATTACATCGCATTCAACCGTTCATAAGAAACGTACATTCTTTTCGCATCGCCAGTTTCTCCAGCTCTCGGTTCGCTTTATTCGCTTTGATTTCATCAATCCACGCAGCTCGCACATCCCTCCTGACAATAGTGGGTTGTGAAAAACCAATATTAATTAGTTTCGACAATTCGAGATCCTGAGCGTTCACCTCTGAAAAGTGGACGCAAATAATCACATCTCAAAAAATCTCCATCATTAGGAGTCAAATTCGAGGTTAGATAAAACCTAACCCCATATCACACGTTCCGATTACGTACCCTCGAGCCGCTGTTTCAAGTTCCTTGCAACCGTTGGATTCCTGCCTCTCAAAGTTCCAGTATATCGCACATCCTGGCACTTCGGCAATATTAAATCACTCGAAATTAACCTAAACAACCTCACCGCCATTACGACACGTGCACGGGCAGCAGAGGTGAAAACTCTTTGTCTTTCGATGGACGGGGGATAGCCAGAAAAAAGAGGAGGTATCTGCGTCCTTGTCGCACTCACTCCATTACGTACGCATTAGTGTGAGAGAGAGAAAGCGATAGATGGCTCTTCGTATCTTCCACTTCCATATACTCTATATGTGCATCCTTGTCGCACGCAGTACGGTACAATTTAAAGAATAACAAAGCGTATTACGTTCTACGTTTATACTACGTTAATTGAAACTAATATATCTCAAAAAGTGACGGCATATTTGTTCATAACGAGGTTATGGGGAGGCTCCGAAAGTGGCGAGATAGTGTACGCGCAGTTTCAGTGTTCCAGATCCAGACCAAACCAGATTCAAGATACACGTGTAAATAATTATTTTTCTTGTTTTTCCACCTGAGCGAAATTCAAATTAAATAACAATGTTTAAAACAACATTCTAATTTCATATCTACAATTCTGAGACCACAGGGACATTATAGGTTAAGACGACTCGAAGAAATAATGCAACGAAGCAGTACAACGAAATATGAATGACAACAATTAAATGATCTACGAAAAGTTTCCATTATACGTGGTAGTTAGGTAATGGGGAACCCACCAGACGGTTTTTGGAATTTTGTGTGAATATTTTTTTCCCTTCAACCAGCATCAGGTGGGCTGTTGATCGCGTGTCGCATGATACGAATCTCTCTCCGTGTCAGGAAACTTGGTCGGCAAGTTTGGGCTGTGTAAATGGCACTTGGCGTGATATTTGATTCCCGCAACATCTACTTCGTAATCCCCGGAGCGGATGTAATCGTTCGTCACTTCCTGAGGGCAATTCTTCGAGTCCAGATTTTGGACAAATCCCAGACAGACCTGAAAGTGTAGAAATCATCGCGATGAAACCAAACCTCCGATTAATTTTTCCAGGCCTTTCCTTAGATACAGGCTTTAGCACTAAAGTGGACCAAATATTCTTAAGAAATGTTATACAGATGATGTACTTGTGTCTTGAAAGTGAAGCCATATCCTGTCGTCGTTGTCATCCCACAGTATTTACCATTGCGATAAATCGGTTCTCCACCCCAGCACCAAGGATCTATCTCCACGTCGTGATCTTTCAACAATAATTGTACGTACTTTCGCTTAACGCCTTCCTCCCGCTGCTTCAAAAGCGCGTCGCGTCCTATAAAGTCGACGCCTTTCTGTAAAATTATGGTTAAGAAATGTATTATTTTAGCACAAAACCATTTTGGGGAAATTGAAAAGTTAGCTGCAAATTGAGATATAACATGTAGATATTTTAAGCATGTCTGTTATGATTTTTTTTTTCATTTATATAGTAAATTTGTGGAAGTATTACATCAAATTTGACTCTCCAGGAACGGCCACATTCCAAAGGTGTGGTGAAGGTGTCGAGATCTTGGCCCCAAAAAGCGTAAAATTTCTCAACTCTCAGAGCTCTCGTTGCAAAATATCCAGCATGTTTCATTTCATATTTTGCTCCGGCCACAGTCAGTTTGGTGTACACATGCGGTGCGTACTGAAATATTTCGGTGAGAAAAATTATGATTGCCAACATTTTGTGACATTCATTCCTATTCGTGTAAGATTTATTTTTCAGTACTTCCCGATAGCTTGAAAATTTTGTAAAGGTTTCGATTTTAAGTGGTTTTAAAATTGAGTAATAATACGAGTTTCTGTGGAGTATATGTGCTTCATTATAAAAAAAAGTGACATAACGTAGGAGTATTAACCTCACACAGTGCGTATTCAGGGAACATTAATAATGACTTCCAGGTGAATTAAGGTAGGGTTATAATTACCAGAGGAATAACAGATGGGGGATTCAGCATCGGGAGAATGCCATTGTATTATCTGGGATAAAAACACGAGATGTATATAGTGCTAAATAGAGAAGCTTTGTCTAATAAAACAATGTCGCTGTATCGATTAAAAAATATGAATCTACCTCATTCGGTATATAAAGAACATATCCAAGTTCTCCGGTGTGAGTTAGGTTCATCGTCCTAATTCCAGTTGCAAGGCCAACGTCTAATTCCTGTGGAATAAACACGACGTTGATTCAAATAATAATCACGAATAACAGAATTATTATTTATTATTCAAATTGGAGCTTACCTTAAATGTAAAAAATGGGAACTTCTTTGGACTCACATCGCTGTCGGTGAGCTCGGATAAGATTTGTCTAGTAGCAGGTCCCATGATACAAATAGCGGTATAAGCCGATGTCACATCTGCCACTGCTACCGATCCATCGGTTGGCAAATGTCGCCTAATCCAATGTTTACACCGAGTTTGTTGAATAGTAGGTGCGATCATCATGTAACTATACGAAAACAAAAATTAGAGCATGCAATCTGTACGTTTGTAAGTGTTAAAGTGTGCACATGTTAAAGCTACGGATAGTTCCGTGCACTGACTTAAAAAAATAGCGAGAAATTAGAACGGAGATAACCTCAATTCGTCAACTGACAGTTGTTTCAAATCAAATTAAATTTTAAAGTGAAAAGGAAATCAATGCAAGTGATACCGTACTGATTTGGCGCGATTCGTGCCAAGCTGCAGTCATTTTCATATCCTCCTCGAGCATTTTGCATTCCGCTGTGAATAATACTTCCAACGGGAACATCGACGTCGTTTGAGCATAAATACTGAAGCAAATCCACCACCTCCATGCCACCGGACTAAATAAAATATTTACGATTAAATGATTCTTTAATCTTACTTTTCACGATTCGTATAGAAATAACATTTTTAATAATCTGTAATTTCCATACCCATAAATCAATTTTAGTAAAAGATGAATAATCACTGAGTCCCACAGTCTCCCTACATGCAGCGTATTCTTCAGCTACACAATCGAACCATGGTGGTTTACCAAAGGTATTGGTATTCGCTATCTTGTAGCGCTGAGTTCCATCTACTGGATCTACGTCTGTACACAAATAATAATTTGATAAACAAGTTACAATATAAGAGTCACAACGGTATTTCTTAAGGTTATAATGATTGCATGCAAGGACTGTATCTCTATAAGTAAGGATTAACTAGTAAAATTTTAGATTTCATAGTTATAAATAATGTGACATCTGTAGCATAATACCATATTCTTCATCTGGATCGAACCAGGAGGGTCTCTCGTAGCCCATAACTTGGCCCAGAACGGCACCAGCTTCCCTCAGTTTTGGATAAATCGGCGACATTCTCAGATTTCTTCCAGTCTTGAATTCGAGATGAGGATATTGCAAGGCATAATGCATTCCAGGGACTTCCCTTACGCGATCTCGCAGAAATTTGTGATTATTGTGCAGTCCCAAGAAGCGGGAGACGTCCAGTTCGTACATGTCCAAGGATGTCGAACCGTTCACTATTAATTCTGCAGTGGCTCGGCCTACGCCTCCGGCAGCAGATATTCCTATCTAAAAACGGGACTTGTGAATAGAGAATATCAGTCAAATCTAGAAATTTAATAATTTAAATGAAAGACCGCAACACAAGCTGTACGGCTTTCAAAATTATTCACCATGGGAAAAGAAAAAGTTCATGACATTTGTACTCACAGTCTTCATGCCAGCTGCTATATAGTAATTTCGGATTTCAGGAGCTTCGCCGATGATCCATTTGCAATCTGGAGAAAAGGCCTCGGGCCCATTGCACAGTCTCTCCAGTTCGGCATCTCCAAGACTCGGTATCCTATGAAGCATTTGTTCGAATAGTATATGGAAATGATCCCAATCCTCCGGCAAGAATCTTTCCTTTGTGCTTTCTACAATAACAAATTCACATCGAAAGAGAACTCTACGAGTATGTAAAAGCAATATCCACTTTAAATTCCAAATTAATTGTAAATAATATTGTGATAGAATAATTACAATTCTTTTATGAAAGTAATTTTTAAAGATAAATGCGATTGAAGAGAAGTTTTTAACTGACCAGGTATTACTGAATTTTCAAAAGCTGGTTTTGCCACAGGCTCGAAGCCCCCTGCTAATATTCTTCCATCGTTTTCGCGGAAATATACATAACCATCCAAATCACGTACCACTGGGGTCATCGGGTCTAAATTTTTAATCGGCCTGGTATGCAAGTAATAGTGCTCTACTGGATGCAATGGTACCTGTAACAAAAAAATTCTGAAAGTATTGTAAAACTGAGATACCCTTAATCTCATTAGTTAAAGAATTAGTTTCGAAACCCATTCAGTGATTAGCCTTTAGGTAGCGGAAGGAGACACTAACTTTGACAGTTGGATCGCTCATCTTTCCCACGTTACGAGCCCAGAACCCGGCACAATTTATAAAATGTTTACACTGTATTGTTCCATTTGTAGTTTCCACAGCTTTTACAGACCCATTTTCATTAATAACTTTTGTCACTTTGCAGTTCTCCAAAATGCTTACGCCTAAGGAAAAAAATAAATAAGTTACAGTAAACTATTAAATATCTTAAAACATTTATGTAGCACCATGTTAAATATGTAAATTGTATTTATCGGTTGTACCAAGTTGTTCAGCTTCTGACATTAAAGTCAAACATGTTCTGTATGGGTCACCGACTCCATCTCCAGGTATCCAGAGTCCTCCGACAAGATCGTCTACTTTGAGCAGCGGGCACAGCTTTTGCATATCTTCAGGGGATACCAAATAGCATTCGATATCTCTTGATCTATAATTTTATTTTATATTAAATGAAATTAAGAAATTGATAAAGAAAATACTACTTCCTTGATACTAACACAGATTGTGCATGCATTCTGCGAAATAAAGTCATCCTGTCTCTAGTTCTCGCTAAAGAAAGACTACCGCACTGTTTCCATCCTGTCGACAACCCTTTCTTCTCCAATTCTTTGTACAATGCGATACTATCTTGAGCAAATTTCACTTGCGCTAAGCTGGGCTTGAAAGCCCCGACTAAGCCAGAAGCATGCCAAGTGGTTCCTCCACCTATTCTGTAAATTACAATTAAAATTGCTTGGCTTATTCTTTACTTTATTTTAAGATGACATTTAAATTAAATAGGGTCAATGTGATTCTTAACCGATTGAACTTTCCCCTATCGGCATAACTTTAGCTAGGAGTAGAGTGAAAATGTTGTGGAAAATTCTGGGACACAAATACTTTAGCGATATTATTCAGACGTACTTGCCGCTCTCGACGATTACTGTTTCACAGCCGAGTCCCATTTGTGCCAAGTGATAGGCCACTGCGGCACCCATTACTCCTCCCCCACAAATAACAACACGCGTTTCTTTTGGAAGTGCTTTCTGTACGGTCTCCGTCGATATGTCTGTGGCTGCCGAGCTCCTTGCAGACATTTCTCTCGTATACTTCCAAAACCAAATTGGTTCCATCGTCTGTTGACCACGACATAATTTTGGAAATTGCCACATGTTTCATTTATGTCTTTGAAGTCTTACACTCTTCAATCGAGTTCGCAAATGATCTGAAAGTCATTTCCTGAAATTATTCTTCAACCTCTGTATGGACGATTAATCCGTGTAACATTGATCCGTTAGAATCCTCAAAGTTATTAAGGACTGAAAAATCACATTCTTTGCGTTTTTTTCCATTCGTTAACCAGATTCTTTGTTAAATTCATTATGAAAATTCTACGTTTAGCAGAAGAAAAATTGATGCGTAAACGCGATTACGTTTAGGTTAGTTTTAAAGAGGTTAAGGCGAGGTTAGTTTTCTTTCGGTATATTACAAAAAGAAATAAATAACGGATGAATTTCGGTTGTTTTAATGGGATAGCAGCAATTATCAGATTTTTTTCAACGAACCCTTCTATGAAATGTTTTCAGCATCGGAACATACTAAAAATTATGTGTAGTTATCAGAGATGAGTTGGGAGCAGATCTCTCCTTTACCCCCACTTCTGGTTTGTTAGCCAACTTTTAGAGCATCAAGAGCTAACATAGGATCTGGACTTCTATGAGACTTCTGAATTGTTCCGAATTATTTGGTACTCATTGGTACTGGTGGTTGAAGATAAATTAAAAACAGGCAGGAATTCTAAAGCCATCGTATAATGTGTAAAATAGCTCGAAATGGGTAAGAAACGGGAACATAGGTTAAACGATTTCTTAGATGATAATTCAGGGAGAAAACCGTGGACTGTGAAAGAGAAGCAAAAGCTGTTGAAAGGTCTGCGTAAATATGGACATATGGATATTCATGGAATGTGCAAGGTATTGCCTGGAAGGACTCCGGGTTCGATAAAAGCTAAAATCAACGAATATGCTAGTCGAATCCGAGGCAAGGGTGACGATTTGTCTCCACTAGAGACGTGGCTTAAATCCGACATATTTCAGGAACGAGACAGCATTATTCCGCAAGCTCTGAAATTGATACAGCTCTTCGAGAAACATCCACCCTCTGAAAAGTGTGCCGGATGCGATTTCAGGTTCGCTTTGTAAATTCCGAATTGATGTTACTATTAGCGCTTTTATTTTATTGCATATCTGCTCTTAGATTATTTAATTCCGTTTTCAGTGAGGCGTACAAATTTCTATATGACTTAACGGTAGGCAATAACTCCACTGATTGTCCATCCGCAACCAAAGAGATGATTTATTGTGTAATCGCCAGAATAAAGCGCGACATTTGGCCTTCGACGAATAAACAGATACTCGATCAGCTCTGCAGACTAGATTCTAAAACTAAGGCAGTTAAAGTTTATCCCGGGAAAAAGGTATTTCAATCGTTACTTGATTAACATCATTCGTCTCTAGTTATCTGCAATTATCTAGCCAAGCATTGTAAATTTTAAATTCTTTTTATTTCCAGAAAGGGGACTAAGATAAATATGCAACGAAATACTTGTAAAAAAGATGTATTGAAAAATTGCTGCATAAGCAAAAACTGGGATCATTGGATCGACTGCTCTAAGGAGTAAGAATATAAAATGACAAATCATTAGTGAACTGTGGTTGTGTATTCCGATATGAGACTGTATTTTAAATAACATATAGTGCACTCGAGAAAAGAATAATGCCAGGGACCCCATTTACACAGAAATTGATAAGTGATATTGTTTGATATCATGATATCCTTAGTACCTGTTAGCCAAGAAATGAGTTTTAGTGCCCTTTTTTGAAGATACTTATGTACACATACATTGCACTGTACAATAACAATAATACAACCAACAATTCATAGAAAGAACGTACACGTTAATTACTGTTCTCGATAGACATGATTCTTGTCAAGGATTTAATTACATGCCAGGGACGTACTGTCCCTGATAGTTTGAATTAATTTTTCAGTATCTCCCAGGCATCTTCCTCAAGCTTTGAGTTCCAGTCGGAGGCCTTACTATCTGCCTCGAAGTTTATCAGTGCTTTCTCTTTAGGTGACTCGTTGGCTTTTGGCAAGTTTGGACTTTTTACTTCGGTCGATGTATTGATGGGTTGCTTCGAGCTGCCTCCCCAATCCCACTCCTGGCTGGAAGAGCTTGATAAGCTAGATCTGGGAAGACCGAATTGATTTAAAAGCAATCATTTTTGTACAGCCACTCACCAAAATGGAAATGTTTAATTAAAACTCAACTTGTACTCACTTTACACTTGAACCAGAAACTAGTGACGACTTTTCGTTGGAATGTACATTGGATGAATTCTGATAAGAATTGGAAGAGCTTTGATAATGTCGATCCACATCGTGACGTTGCTCAGACGAGTTGGTGCCACTGATGTCACCCCAGCCTCTTCTGCCTATATCTCCCACCTAAGAATAGTAATTGTTATAATTAGACACAACTGTATACTGTACATTTTTAAATTATAAATTAAAGTCAGTTATTAAAAATATTTGAACTAAGTTTTCTACCTTACAGGCTAGATTATTGACCTGAGCGCCTACGTCTTCCAGCAGGGTACCTTCCCGAACCTAATGAAAGAAATAAACTGAAGAAAATGGGGTGCAAACTCAAAAGGGGAGGGGGTAACTAAAAAATGAAGGGCTTTGTGACTAAACAAACTGAAAAGAAACGTACCTTGTCGGTCACAGAAACAGAAATCTCGGATACCTTTTGCGTAGCTATTCCTCCGATCTTGATGGCATTTTCAGTTGCTTTGCTGGCTATCTTCGTCGCAGAGGTGGAGAGTATAGACCAGCCCTGGAATGGAAAGTAATTGTAAACCTATAAAAAGTATAATTTTCCACAAAATAAAAACTTTTTATGTAAATTAAAGCTCAATGATCGTTACACTAGCAAGAGACGAAACAGCAGTGTCAAAGAATTCTTGGGAAGAGCTTCTCGGTGGTGGATCCATTTGATATCCGAAACCTCCATATTTGCCTCCCTGATTTGGTGGTAGATTTCTGGAATATCATTTTATAGAAAATATAAGTTAAACAAGAAGTGGACTAAATATGCTTGCTTACTCAGGTCGGTCTGCATTTTCATTTTGTTTCCTAGTGAAGAATGATTCTGTCTGGGATTTAAAGCTAGGAGAATTGATATTTTGATACGAAGACTGTTCGCCTTGGTAAGAGTTGCAATTTTGTCTATTCTCTTGATGTGAACTCCCACAATCCTTGGCGTTAGAAGGTATAGGATTCCATTCTTCGCCTCGAGCCAATGTAGCTATCTTAAAGAACAATGTAACTTTATTATCATTCATTCATAAAGTGATCTCATTTCCTACATCGATAAATTTCTACAGATTAAACTATTTGCTTCTAACAAGTGAAAATGGAAATCCTTGCTGTAAATTTTTGTAAGTGATCATCGAAAAACATTCAAAGGAAACACTTAATTTAAATACTGCACCGAACAAACGAAAAAAAAACTCTAAGACCTTTCTTGAATACATAGAAATAATTATCATCCGTCGATACTCCAAACGATGCAAATGAAAAATGCATCGTACAAACTTAAAGTTCACAATAGAAACAGAATGAAGCCTAAAATAATTTTCGTATACCATATCTCTGTACATAGCCGCAGATCTCGTATTGTACTTTTGTAAAAAGGGCATCCTGTCGTCCCAGTCCGGCTGAAATTCAAAGAACTTCCGGGCCTTCCGGTTGCCACCAACAGACATTTTCTGAAGCTCCAAGTCCTTCCACTTGTCCATCGATGTGGAGCGAACGAAGGAAAGATGAACTCCGAGTCCTCTGTGCTTTCCGGAGCAGTACAGACAAATCCATATTCCATATGTAACGGAGACCCACTGGGGATTCGGGACTCCACACTCGAAGCACCTCTGGGAATTAATGGTAAAAATTATAATATTTCAAGTGACTGGACGACATAAGTGTAATTATACGCACATTGTTTTCATTCTGAGTCTTCAGTTCCCCTAATATCCGTCGAGTTCGGGGACTGGCCATATCGGAGGCTAATAAACCGCCACGAGTCACCTCGCCACTTTGCAAGACTGCGAGATCCGAGATCCTGCCGATCACAATCTCAGAGCGGCTTGAACTTGCCCTAAAACCCGAGAGAAATGTCAATTAAGAGTCGTTTACATCGTCCGAATTGAAATGTACACTTTCTAATCGCGTTTATACCGATAAATCATTGAGACGGCTTTACTTGGACTACGTCTCCATCGTACTCGAAATTCGAGATTTATCGGGTCGAATAAATCCCGAATTAAGGAGAACGATGGAGACGTGCTTATTTTCGATAAGGATGAAATTCCATTTTTCAAACGACGCGCCAAATAAAAGTATGGGGTGCGTCACATGACCGCGAAGACACTGGCGTTTGGCGCATGACGTCATCCAGGACGCGCTCGAGAACGCATGCGCGCAACCCCACCCATCGGCCATGACAAATGCAACTTTTACTTCCGGCTAAGCTCGGCCTCCGCGTAAGGTTTTTCGAGTTTACCAGTATCATCGCGTAGTGCTTCTGTTATCCCACGTCATCCGTCACTTCCCCGAGCAATAATTGCAATTTGCAGTCGTCTAACTACGAGGGATATATTTTGTTTGTCGTATGTCCATCCAGAATCTCAACACATTCGGTAAATATCAGAGATTTCCTGGGGGAAAAGTCGTGCGAGGACGAGAGGCGAACTTGGACAAAATGGCGGCGGCGTCCCCGCTTGGGTCCGTAATGCGCAGTGGATACGTTCCGTCCCGATATTTGTTTCTCGGGCCTTTCGCGCGACTTTGGCTCAGAAATTTGAGCTTGTGCTTAAGAGGGTCTCTCTTTTAATTTCCCGCCTTTGTTTCGTAGACCCCTTTGCAGATGCAATCAAGGGTTCCGACGATGATGTCCAAGACGGACTCGTGCACATAAGGATCCAACAGCGGAATGGTCGTAAGACCTTAACCACGGTACAGGGGCTCTCGTCTGAATATGACTTGAAGAAAATTGTACGAACATGTAAAAAGGTAAGGGACGGCCCTCTTGGAGTTCTCGGCGGTCTTCCGGACCCGTTTTCCCCTTGTGTCACTTTCTGAGAACATGGCTAATTATAGATCGCTGACGTGCGGAATGGCTTTAATGCCTTGAACCTTTCATCTCGATTGGCACGCGTTTTATCAACAGAATTTTTATTTCATTGGTTCTTGCATTCAAACTATCATTTCTTCACATTTTTTTTCATCGACGAGCAGTTTGATGATCGAGGAGAATTTCGTTTACCGTTCAAAAATTCAAGAATTTGTCTGGAATTTTTCTGGAATTTGTTAAACGTTTGAATCATCTAGAATCTTTTAGATAAAACGTGCGTAGACAGAGTATCTTGTAAACGAGAACTGTGTCGGAAGCGATCTTCGCTGCAAAGGTCTATGCCGGGCATCTGTTCTGCGTAACGTACATACGGCATGGTGCTATGTATAGGTCCGACCTTGGCCTCATCGGGCTTGCCAATGCAAAGTCTGGACACCATTATTAAGAAATTATACTGCAAAATGGCATCGTAGCTATCGATGCGTTCGATGCATGAAGATCTATTTTCAATTTTGGATAGATTTTTATCTCCTTGAGTCCTTCATTTTTAGATTTAGATTTAAGGTTTACACAATTTTACGTAAAACGTTAATTAGAATTTTCTTAATTAAAATTTGTCTTTGTGTCGCATCAGAGGTAAGAGAATTAATAATTGAATACTTTAATTCGTTTAAACGAATAAATGAATTACCTCAGGATTATAATAAAAAATACCAAAACATCGATAATGGTAAAATAAGATAATTGTACAACGTTGATACGAGTTGACGTCATTTACAGGAGTTTGCATGCAATGGGACAGTAATCGACCACCCGGAGTACGGGGAGGTGCTGCAGCTGCAGGGGGACCAGCGAGAGAATATATGCCAGTGGTTAACCAAGTCGGGTCTGGCAAAGCCTGACCAGCTGAAGGTCCACGGTTTCTAATCAACAAACACCACCACTCATGCCACTTCCTAAGGCAACTCCACTGTCACCGACACCCCGCCATCTGAAATTATCTGCACCAGTCACTACTACTCGTCGACACTTCGTGGGACACCCCATTATATATGCATATATATTTCAATAAAAAAGAAAAAGGGAAAAAAGAAACAGGATATATATTACAGTACCGCGTAGGCACAATATTCTAATCGGACGTTTTTTGTAAGACCGTACAGGAAGAGCAATACTTTGCAGCCTTATGTTAGGCGATCCACAGAACGCTGTCAAGCCCGAGGCAATAGTCGATGGTAGTGGTCTGAGAGAGTGGCAGGTTAACGAGAGATAGAAGCGATACAAGCAAGTAACAGCAGATGGCTCCCTTCGGAAGCAGATAATATGTATCTGGGAGCGATAGATGTATTCAGAGAGGACGAACTAGCAACCTCCTAGGTCTCCGAGTGGTTTCGCACTGTAACTATCCGAATGCTTTCTCTCTCTTTTAACCCAAGTATACAGTAGGAACAACAAACTTTGGTTTGAGCTCTGCTATGTCAGTTTGTCTGGCTTCCTTCTTCTTTTATTTTTTTTTAAATCCGATTTATCTCCGTGCTCTTTTCTCCCTTTATCAACTTTTGTGCCTTTGATTCCACAGACACAGCACACATAACACACACACGCCAATTGTATTATTTATTAAAAGTGTAACGTTTTAATGTACTGGCGCTCGATGGGGGGGGAGGGAAGAGGAACTTTTCGTTATTTCTCTCCTTAACGCAGTATTGAGACAATTGAATTATTTGCAATTGAAAAATGTGACTGTTCTAGATAAATAAACGGTGATCCGACAGTTCTTGGAGGTTATTGTATACCTGGCTCGAAGTCCCTTGGCCCAAGAGTTTAGATCCTTTTTAACCCTTTTAGTGTCGGCTGAAGTCGTTAGCACTTGTAAAACGACAATATATCGTTGTTCGGCACTAAAAGGATTAAACAATTGTACGTGTTTTATGTGGTAACTTTGCTATAATGGTTTAGTGTACGTTTTTCTCTGAGGATATGATTTGTAAAATACTCTAAATGTAAGAAATCAATATTACCTTTGTGGAAATGTTTGTCATTCTTGTCAACACGCTTTGTCAATGCTTATCGAACATTCGCAAAGGTCGTAACTAAAAGTGATTTAATAATTTGCATATTTTTAATATTTGAGTGCAATAATCTGGTTATAGTTTCACAATTACACAGAATTATACAGATTTTATGTAAAGTGTGTGTGAGTATAACAAATGTTTAAGAACAAGATGGGGAATAACGAGTGCAAGTAAATATTTACCATATAAAGTAAAGTGCTGTGTCTTTGTTACAGTAATTGTTATCAGTAACGAAGACCAACAATTGTAATTGTAAATTTCTACGTAAGCAGATGAAGGTGGAGACATGGGATTAACGTTATATATTTCTTTAAAGTTCATTTAAAGAAGCCAAGTATTAATGTTGCTTTATATTTTATAAGCCTTTAGATTTACATTTATTTTAATACAACTATAACGTTATAATCTAAATACAAAAATTTGCTTACAGATGACAATGCATTAGAATATGAACAACATTAGCGTAACTTACATAAAAAATTATTGTTCATTAAAATACTAGGTACAATACACAGTTATTCGTTACATTCAGGGAAATATTATTCATCTAAATAAGGCACCAGTCATCTCATTTGGTTTTTTTTAATTTCTAACATTTGCAGCTTCTGAAGAGCCATTGGAATGTTTCAGTAAAAATTCACACAGAGTCGGACTCGACTCTGCCGCCACTACATCCAAGAATGTTTTGAATAATAGGATCGTTAATTTAGAACTATTATTCAATTCAACCTTTACGTCAGTCTCCAATATATTTATATTCAGTCGTTCTTATTGCTGCGAATACTTCTGTGAAATTTTAAGTAAATGTGAAAAGTAACATACACGATTCCATGTACAGGGTGAGACAAGTTATTCGGGTGAACGCTCCCAATGGTTCCGAAGAGTCAGAGGTTTTGCAAACAATTCCTCCGCTTAAGGCAATATGACAGGGACACTCTGTATATATAAAACGTTAAAATATTTATAAAACTTTTCTTCAGATTCATACATTACGTAAACCACGTAGTTTACCGTAGAAAATCTAAGAAAACCAGGGACTGCCGTAGCGAAAGGGTTAAATTCCTTCCTGGATTTATTATTTCAATTTAAACATAGGTTGTAATATAGAAACAAGCGTAGAAAACAAGGAACGTATGTATTGTAATTACGCGTAGAGGAGCATGTACATACGTTTAGGTATATCTACCCAACCCTAACCTCAACTTCTAAGTCACCCGGTGTGTCGACGGCGCTCGTCGCGGGATAAGCAACTGGTTACTCGTGAGCGATAGCCCATCGGTTTGTCTCGCGACAGGACGCGACAGGACGCGACACGCGACGCAACGCGCTCCCCAAAATGGAGTCGCGCATTCGAGGCGGCGCAGCGCGCGTTTACGAGGGTGATCGACCATCGACGGAAGGTTCGTCGGTCGTCCGGTAGGAGAAGCACGCGCCGTCCAGGCAAGAGTCGTCGACGGCCGTCTTCGTGGCGGCGACCGACCGGTCTACGAGGCTCCAACGTAACGGTGGCCCGCGACCAACCCCAGCCACGGTGCGTGGAACACGCGAGACTTGCCCGGGCCGCGTGCGCGCGCAGCGCCGACGGCCGCTCAGCCAATCAGCGCGCTCGGCGTAGAGACTGCGCACCGGATTGGCCCGCCAAGTCAAAATGGCCGCCGGCCCTGGCGATTGATCGGCAATTCCTCTTCAACCGCCGCTCCCGGTCTCTTTACGCGATGACTCCCCGGAAATCCGATGTCCGAGGGTCAACTCCTCGTCGAGGAGTCGAGAAGTCTTGATGGAAACGCTGGAAAGCATTCCAGAGAGGGATAAGGGGACCCGGAAGTTTCGAGGCGACCCTGTTCAAAGCTTATCCTACTTCGCGGTAGAGATATTAGAGTAACGGATAGGTTGGCTACCCTGCTGCCGCGGAGCGTCTCTCGGCCCGGCCGGTGATGGCGCTGCCGGTGGCCGCATACCTCTGGCCCAGAGTGCACCGGGCCACGGCATGTGCCTTTCTGCGTCGGCCATTTTGTAGTTACCTCGAGAAATCGTGTGTCGAGTCGGTTCTTCTACTCGGTAAGGACACCCTCGAAAATTCTCCAAGGCACCCGGACGCTCGGGGCGTCGGAGCGGAGAGCGGAAACTCGGGAAGGCGCGACGGACGCGACCGCGCCGCGTCCGGCCGCCCGTCCGGAGCGCGCCCGGGCACTCGGGCCGCGCGGCCAGGGTGCCCGACGGACCCTCGCCGAGCACTGGTGCCAGCGGTCGCGAGGACGGCGCGTTCCCGTCCGCTCGGGGCGTCCGCGCGACTCCACTGGGACGCGCGGATCCCGCGACAACGCCCGGGTACGACGCCCGCGGCCCGGTCGGCCTGGCCGCCGCTATATTTGGCCGGGAGCGGCCGCGCGGTCGCGACCGCGCCGACATAACCCCTAAGGGCGCGCGCCCGTCGACGACGGCGAGAGGCCCCACTCGTGGATACGTGGAATGCGTGTGTGCGAATTGCGGAGCGTAGACCTGGTGCCTGCTCTCGGGGAAGATGGAGCAAGGGCTGGGTTAGGTCGGCGAGGAGAAAGGAAGGATTTAACTCTGAGAGGAATGGATGGTGTGTGTGGTCGAGTCGAGAGGGTGTTGTCCTAGAGCATCGTTTAAATGTTTGTTGGCTTGCATGAGATTACAATGTACAACGAATCGTCGGCAGTAGGTTGCTTCTAGGAGTTATACAGGGCTTTGTATGGTAGGGATGGAACTTTGAAGGAATCGGAGATAATTTCAAGGGACGAGGCCTCGACTCGTAAGCTGGGGGGAAGGTATAGATCGTTACGCTTCAAATACATATTTTTATTGTTTTTTATCATTTCATTGCACCCTCGTCGAGGGTGGGATGGAATGGTAAAAAACAATGAAAAGTATTTGTATTTGAATCGGAGATGGGGAAATGTCTTAGGTAATATGATTTGGCACTGTTAAACGTGGACTGCGTAGAAATTTGGAGAACGTAGGTTCATTTGTGGGTTATCAAGATTTGAGGGAAGGAATCGAGTTTCGGGGATTGCGATCTGTAAAGGTGGATTGGGCGATCGATGGACATCCGTTCTGACATCCATTTCGTGAAACGGATGTCGGATCTTAAATATCGGAAAGGCCTGACAGTAGATATATTTTGACCAGGAATTCGGTTTAAGTCGTTAACACTCCGTCGGAGCATTTGGAAGTTTGTACGTGAATTTTCATGGAATAATCAGAGGTGGGCTACAAAAGTAATTGTCGAGAGTCCTACTTATTCGTGTCTAGGTGGCTAGAGTTAGAAACAGATCGTTAAAGATATTACAGCTGATTATAAAATACTGTAAGGTGTCGGCTCATGCGTCTGGGTTAATCGACTATGTCAAAGCTCGGGGTTGGCATAATTGCGAAGCATGGTGATTTAAGAAATCAATGATGTGTGTGTATATATATATATACACATACAAACACACACACACTTTCACCAGTGTTACAGGATTTGAGACAAAAGCAAATTAAGGAAGAGTAGGTTTTTAATGATCGAACGATCCATTCATGGATTTCTTGTAAGAAACCACATCCAAAAACAATTATTCACAACTCAGGGCATTGACACAGTAGTTATCTGCGTCTGTAAATTCCAAATCGATTTTTGGAGTAGAATAAAATCTAGAGTAGACGATCTGTATCAAATGTTCCGTTACTTCCCGTCTGCTGATTAACTTTTGCATCCGGTATGTTCCAAAGTTGAAGATAGTTGCTCCAAGATTTCTTGAATACAGGTTTTTTTGTGACGTAGTACAGGGTTTGAAAGTACGTTGCTAGATTGGCCTTTAATTTTTCCATTTTATAGGAGAAATATAATTTTGACAGTGAACTGTTAAAAAACAGCACTTGACCTAGGTTAGAAAGTCCTTTCACTATCTGATGCAACAAAACTCTGCATCGAGAACATTCTCTTTGATGCAGGTACTTTAGTGTGTTGTCCAAATTCGTTCGAATTAAATGGGGTCTGACGTATTCTTTTTTAATATACATATTATTAATGATTATTCTAATAGATAGTTGTCGACTACTTACACATTTTACTATAAGTTGACTTTTGATTTTGTGAAGTTTATTCGAGGGAGAGAAAAAGAACATTGTAATTGCAATGCGAGTTAATTGTTTTATAATATTCCACGTGAGTCGTCTGTATATTGCTCGCAAGCTCGTTTGCAATTAGCCGATGTACATTTTTATAGAAAGGAGGAGTATATCTCTTAAGTGAATATACATTTATTTACCACGTTAGAGGTGCTCAAAATTGAGTAACGTAATATTCTTCGGTTTCAAATGTTTCGTTACGAGCGAAGGGAAATAAAGAAAGCTGAGCTATCGATACTTTTTAATATCGTATGCCAAATGACAGCAAATTTCATTCTTGCAGGGTACGTGTACATGAATGGGGACATTGGGAAGCTCCCACCAGGGGCGGTTTACCCAGCCACCCCTGAACCCCTGGGCTCCATCGGGGGTGCAGTCGCCAGCAGCGTCTCTGGTCTAGACTACGCCGTCATGAACGGAGGACCGAGCGGAAGCGAATTAATGCTTGAAGCCGGGGTAGGCACCCTGGAACCTTCGGCTCAGCATGTCATGGGCATGGGAGGAGCCATCGGTTACGGTCCAGTGGACATGGCCCCTCTGGGCGAAGTGCCACCTCCGTCTGCTCCGATGGCCGACCTTTCCGTGCCTGGCATACCTCTCGAACAACTCAAACAGATGCTCTCTTCCCAACTCGAATACTATTTCTCCAGGTGGTTACATTCGCTTGTGTTTACCGTGGGGAAAGTGTGCGTGTACCTTGGTTTGTGTATATTCAGCTGGGTGTACGTAACAAAGGGGTGCCAAACCTAGTGCAATAGATAAGGAATTAAGAATCCGTGAGGGTGTTTCTAAGTTTTGGTGCCGTTGAAAATTAAATGTGACGCATGTGTGTGCGTGTATTTGTGTACATGCAGTTGAGTAAGACGGTAGTAACGGTTATGTATTTTGATTTCAGAGAGAACTTAGCCAATGATACATATTTATTATCTCAAATGGATAATGATCAATATGTACCTATATGGACGGTAGCGAATTTCAATCAAGTGAAAAAGCTAACGAAGGATATAAAACTGATAACGGAGGTGCTGAGAGAGTCTCCGAACGTTCAAGTCGACGAGGAGGGCCAGAAAGTCAGACCTAACCATAAACGATGTATAGTAATCCTACGAGAGATACCGGACTGTACTCCGCTGGAAGATGTTAAGGTTAGCCAAGTTCCTTGAGGTTACATTTCATTAACCCGTTACACCGCGAAATAATACGTAAGCACCTTGTCCAAAGAAAAGCAGACAATTATTCTTTGACAGCGTTTTCATGGACGTCCGTGCGTTTCTTCCCAAACTCCTATTTCATTCGAGGTATTCGGAGTTAACCTCAAACATCTCAAGAATTATTCCGTTTTTCTAGAATTTATTCTCAGGGGAAGGATGTCCGAGGCTTATTTCCTGCGAGTTCGCCCACAACAGCTCTTGGTACGTGACATTTGAATCGGATGAGGATGCTCAAAAGGCCTACAGGTTTCTACGAGAAGAAGTTCGAGAATTTCAGGTGACTGTTCGCATCGATGCTTGGTCTATCTTAGAGATATCTTCTTCGTAGAAGGTGTGCAAAGCGGTCTCATTATTGTCAAACATGACATCCAGATTTATTGCACGTAAATATTCAATGTGAATTCCAGAGGCGAAAAAGGCGACGATATTTCTTGTTTAAATCGTGGGCGCGCCTATTATACGCTATAAATCAAGTTTAGACTTTTCCCGATTTTCCTTCCGGCTTGGCAGACGCGGATATGAAGTCGGATTTTAATTTAAATTTAATTTCATATCACAAAGGAAATAATATTCACAAGTCTATGTAGGCATGTACGAGGTAACTAAGGTAATGTTTCATGTTTTAAAAATTTTATTTCCAGGGAAAGCCGATAATGGCGCGCATCAAAGCTAAACCAATGAACAGGCTACCGATTCCAGCGGTGGCCGGCGTCGGTGGGATAAAAAATGGCTACAGGACTCCTACGGCGCCCCCGGTTTATGACCCGAGTACCTATCCGCCTGGCCAGCAACGCTTCCTATACACAAACGGCACGACGATGCCGCAAACTACGATACCGCCATATGCGAACCAGGTCCACGTCTACGTGAGTAACCTCCAAAACGTGTTCCTTATACTCTCATTCCGAACGAGCGGAAATTCATTCGCGTGTGTAAGAAAGGAAGAAAAAAAGAAAATGTTTGCAATGTGATTTTCCTTTTAATCGAATCCTATTTATGTTCGTTCCTTCGTCCTCTGGTTGACTTCTTGGACCTTTCTTTTTAGCATCAGCCGTTCTATCCGACCGGGATGATGCCCTGGGGACCTGCGAGTCCGGCATACTTCGACATGTCCGGAGTATTTACCATGAACGGGATCACGCCCCATAATACGTTCAAGCCACACAACACGAGATACAACCAGAGAACCAGGTAAAGGACAGTGGGCAACGCATACGTAGAGAAAACCAGAAGGTTAAGGTGAAGTGAAACATCCTTCGAATCGGTCGATTAGAATACAACAATTTTTTTTAAGGGTATTAGACCAAACTGTCCGAAACTTTGACACGTCTAAGAATCGTCCTGACGTATTGAACATTTTTTAACTCAGTCCAGACCAGAACCAAAATGGCGTCGAGCTCTCATATTTCGAACAATACACAATTATCGAAGGCTCTGATATGAGAATCGAAAGGGTCAGGAGAATTTTACGAGAATTTAGAACACTCTGGTAATCGATAAACTCGCATTTGAACGGGATAAAGGCAAAAAAAAGTGTTGTATGCGCTTCTTTGCTAAAACGATGGTAATACGAGGTCTCGGAGTGAAAATTTAATTCACCTGGAAATCACAGATGGCGCAGAGGGTCCCTCCGCAGTCAATTAGGGCCCCAGAAATCATGAATCCAGAGGATTTCTTGAGTTATACTTGGATTTCTTAATAATTATTGTACGAAAACGACAGGTGGAATATGCCATTTGGTACAATACCCAATATAATTGGATATAGCTGTCAATATAAAAACCAACGTCGGCAACGTAGGCATTTAGAAAAATCATCTTTATCAACGTCGATCAAGTTCCTCGACGTGTTTCACTTCACCTTAACGCTACAACTACCGAACCAGTCGAAAGGACTGGTATAAGGTGGCCCACCAGGTAGAAGTAGGGTTGACCGATCGCCTTCGTCGCAAGAGGTTAAAGACGCGGGGGGCGATGGCCTCGAGGAAGAGGTGTCTAACCGGGTCGGGGTGGTTCCAGGAACAAGCAGCGGAACGGTTCGGAGCGCGGCGGCTCGATGGACGGAGGCGGCATGTCGGCGATGTCGCGCAGCGGCCACGTGGCCCCTAGTGGGGGTCCGCTGCCCCCGGGGACGGGGGTGGGGTCGGCGCCAGGTCTGCCGACGCCGAAGCCGGCGACGGCGGCGGCGGCCTACGGCGGGGGAGCGGGGCCGAAGTTCCACTCAGCGCACCTGGTCGCCTCGGGCGGCGAGCCGACGTACGTCGGGGGCGGCGGGGCCGGAGGCGGCAAGCCGGGCCCCCAGGAGGCCGAGGGCCCGGGCGTGGACTCGCCGGTGCAGTTCCCCCGGCACCGCGTCCACCGCCGGCCCAAGGACCAGCAGCAGGAGGCGGCCGCGAAGGCCGGGGCCCAGGGCGGCGCGCCGCCCCCGGGCCGCGAGGCCGCCCCCGGCCCCGGGGCCGGGCCCCCCCCCTACGGCCGCGGGGTCCAGTTCGACCTGGAGGCGGCGGCCTTCCCGCCGCTCCCGGGCCTCGACGCCGAGCCCGCCCGGGCCCCCGGCGCCGCCCCCGAGGGCGCCGCTACCGATGTCGGCCCTCCCGCCCAGAATCGCCTCTCGGACGTCGTCAAGGGTACCGCCAAGCTCAAGGGCTCCAAGGAGAAGGACCCTTCCGTCGCTGCTGCCGCTGCCCCTGCTCTCGCCGCCGCCGCCGCCGCCGCTGGCGCCACCGTCGCGACTGCCGCTCAGTTCCACCATCCGCCACCGACCCAGCAGCAGCAGCACCAGCCTGCCGCATGCAGCAGGTCCGGCAGTCCCGCGCCGGCCGGGCTCGGAGTCGGACCTGCGACCTCGGCCGGCGCCGAGGCGGCCGACAACGCGCTCGGGTCGTCCGTCGCTCTCACTCCCCCGTCATCTCCCGATAAGTGAGTGCCAATTCTTTTCGTCCCTCTCGCGCCGATCTGTAATTTATATATTTCTTTGGTTCGATGCGTTCATTTTTTTTCCTCGGTGTACGTGCACTGGCGATACTCGATTTTGCATCGCTAATCGATCTAAGATCCCAGAAAGTAAAAATGAGTTGCCGGTTTTTTCGGGTTAGGGGTGTAAAGTATCGCCAGCAAGAAAGGGCTTGTCGGCACGTTTTTAATCGAATTCCTCCACGGACAGGTTTAGTCGTTTACCAGTGAAATGCACCGCTGACAGATCTCTAAAGACTGACGACTCGAGCTTGGTGAACGGCGTGGACGAGGGCACGAGTACAAACGCGCACATCGCCGAGGAGACCGAGCCAGTGACCAGGTGCGACTGCCCCACCGATGTCCCTACTGCCCCTCAGGGTAATACCCAGGCACAAGCTGGGGCGGCCTCCGCCTCCCCTCTAGTAAGTTGGCCCTCTTCCTTTCGATCTACTCTATGCAGTTTTTTCATTCGCTGGCTCGAAACCTCCTTCGAGTCGATCGATTTGATCGAGACACTTTTTTTAACTCTCCGAAACTTTGACACGTAACTCGTGGGCACTTTGAGAATTACTCCGACACTTTCCGAGAGTAGATTTTCAAGAATAAATATATTCAACTCGTTCAACAGGATCTTACCAGGCCAAGCTATGCCCAAGTAGCGCAGCACAGTCGGGAGTTACCTTGTACAAAACACAAAACGGAGGAGAGGGATGGAAATATATAAGCCGACACGTAAGTCACTACATCAAAGATCTTCTCAAGTCGGGGGCGTTTCTCTTTTACTTTTCGAACGTTTAACACCGTACCACTCTATCCGCGATCGTTCGCGGTTAACCCTGCAGAACTAGAACCTGAGAAGAAGGTCTCCGATCCTCTGCCTCCCCCGTTGTGACCCTGAGCCCTTTTGCAGATACTACTGCGATCGACTCTCGGTAATTAGAGGTTACCCTTCAATTGGATCGAGTGGAGAGAACGATCACTGCTGCTTTTATCCTACGAAAAGAGGGAAGGAAAGAAAAGAGTTTGCGGTGTCGTAGCGGGGGCACGGAGGGAACGTTTTTACATTGTACAGTGACTTCGCCTACGACTAAACGCGGTATATATATACATTCTATATGTACACTGGACTCCATCGATGGCTTGCTCCTGGTCCACCCTGCCCTCTCCGGCCGCGCAGCGAACCAACGTCGGGAGAGGCGCGGAATTTGAATCGCTCGAGGGGGCAGAATGGATTTCCTAAAGAAAATAAATATATATANTCGAGAGGCAGAATGGATTTCCTACAGAAAATTATATATTTATGAACATAAACAATTAATGAAAATTACTTTAGTATTACTGTGGAGCGTCCCTGACCCACCTAACGTAGTTTTTGTTAAATAATAATTTACAGAATTTTATAAAGAATGTAATAGAACATGTTCTATATTCTGTAAATTATTATTTAACAAAAACTACGGTAGGCGGGTCAGGGACGCTCCACAGTGATACTAAAATAATTTTCAGTAATTGTTTTTGCTTATAAATATTTATTTTCTTTAGGAAATCCATTCTGCCCCTTGGGCGATTTAAATTTCGCGCTGCTCCCGACGGTGGTTCGCTGCGCGGCCGCAGAAGGCAGTGCGGAGCAAGCCATCGATGGAGTCCAGTGTACACATCGATCGACGGCCGATTAATTAGCGAGAGAGAGAGGCACGCATTTGCGTATACATATATATGTGCGTATGTACACGTATACCATGTAACACCCCTCGGTGAGGGATGGGATTAAATTAGAGGGGTGGATCTCGCGCCAAGGGTTATATAAACAAGAGAGAGAGAAAGAGAGGGACGGACGATTGGCGGCAGATTTGAATGAGACGCGCGGGAGGGATGTCGATAATTTTTGGTTATGTGATTTCGGAGACAGTTTTGCGTTACCCTGTAAAACGTCGAGCCAATAAGGAGTCGGTCTTTTAATTCCTCTTTCTCTCTCTCCCCCTCCTCCCTCCCTCGTGATCTCTCTCCGCGTTACTTTCGTTTCTTTCTTTCCTCAGGGCCGTGACTGACACGTTTGTCTTGTGCCAAACCATGCCCATCCATAAACTATACACCACCACACTCACGGGCATCTTGTTTCTCATTTTATATGGTTTTACTCGCGACTGTTTACACCGACGGTTTAACAAAACCACGCCTTCGCTGATGAAAATCCCCGTGTGAATTTACACACTGAATCGTTGGTTATCTCGACGTCACGGTAAATTGCCATACAATCACATTGTTCCTCTAATATCGCATCCGAGTTAAATTATAGAAAATTATATGATATGACGCTTTATTAAATTCGAGAAAAAAAATTCAATACGGTGAATATACAAAGTTAGGGGTGTTTATATATTCTGTAATTTGTAACTCTTCCATTTTTACGTTTTTTTCTACGCGAAAGTTAAGTTAGAAAGTGTGTAACAAATGTATGTCAATTTCCATCGATTTTTGTCAGGGTGGGAAGAGGCGACGCCATTTTTAAAAAGGTCGTTCGAGAAACGCGCATGACGTATGCACACGTATAAACACACACAAACTACGGCGCTGGGATTTTTAACGCGATCGAACGAGATCGGACTTTCTTATTAACGAGAGAGAGAGAGAGAGAGAGAGAGAGAGAGAGAGAGAGAGAGAGAGACCGGTAATTTTGAGCACAGAATTAAGTGCCTCAAGTGTTGTGTATATTACAGGAGCTTGGCTTTAGATGTTATACGATTAATATGTACCTATATATTGTAGTAAGAGAGCGCATATGATATATTTGTTACTGGTATGCGCCCGACAGGGAGAGAGAGAGAGATGATTAGGTCGCGTGGGACGGAGGGGGGAGAGAGTAAGAGAGACACGACAAAAGGCGCGACGAGCGAGAGCCAATATGTATGTACACGTATGCAATTCTCTCCGGGATTTCTAAAGGAGCTATCCACGTATATGTAGTTAATTAACTTTTAAGTTGGCAGTGCTGCCTTTATCATTTTTTTTTTTTTCTTTGCTCTCCGATAAGGGTACACCCCCGGCCGCCCCGACGTTCGAATTTAACGGGCTCGCGGCGCCGCAAGATGGCCGCCGGGGTTCCATGGGCGCGGCCATCTTGGAATTCAAGATGGCCGCCGGGGTCCGCTGGGCGCGGCCATCTTGGACGAGGCGATGCCGCAAGATAGCCGCCGGGGTTCTATGGGCGCGGCCATCTTGGAATTCAAGATGGCCGCCGGGGTCCGCTGGGCGCGGCCATCTTGGACGAGGCGACGCCGCAAGATAGCCGCCGGGGTTCCATGGGCGCGGCCATCTTGGAATTCAAGATGGCCGCCGGGGTCCGCTGGGCGCGGCCATCTTGGACGAGGCGACGCCGCGAGCCCTCTCGCGGCCAGTCGCAGGCGAATGGGGCGATGCGCGAGTGGGGACTTAGGCTCTTTTTCCGTTTTTATTCGTAAATCCCGTATATAATCGCATTCATAATTCATCCCCCCATCTCATCATCTTCGCGTTTGCGTTCAGTTTAGTGCGTTAGCGTTTAACTAAACGGGTTTAAAGCGTTAGCGTGTACGCGCGAAAGGGTAAGAGGTTTATTCGTTCTGGGAATATTGTACAGTTAAAGGAAGCGGGCCGCGAATGCGTTTTAGCGGGCCCCCGTACTCTCCTTGTAGACACACCTCGAGGCGCGAGGACGATTGCGGTGGAAACGGAGGAGAAGGGAAATTTGTATGCGCATGCGGATCTAAGTGCGTTGTCAGTCGCTCGATCGTGCCGAAAGTGACGACGACGACGTTCCGCGTCTCTGTGCGTGTCCATCTATGGCGTGCAAACTAAACGCGTGGTTTTATTAAACCGCCGGTGTAAACGGGTGGTGTAACCAAGCGACACGATGCGCGCTTTTCCAGCGTGTCGTACCAAGGCGAGACACGGTCGTTTACACCGACGGTTTGTTAAATCCACGGGTTTAATTCGCGTAACGAGTGATCGGTTTAAACCAAGCCTAGTTGGCGTGCAAACTAAACGCGTGGTTCTGTTAAACCGCCGGTGTAAACGGATGGTTTAACAAAGCGACACGATGCGCGCTTTTCCAGCGTGTCGTGCCAAGCCGAGACACGGTCGTTTACACCGACGGTTTGTTAAATCCACGCGTTTAATTCGCGTAACGAGTGATCGGTTTAAACCAAGGACCCATGGTTAGGTGTTCATACATAGGGAATACCTGGCGAGCGTGCGACGGAGAGGGAGAAAGAACCGAATTCTTCCTCTCGCGAGTTGACGTTCTCCTTTTTGTCGTCTTTTTTTTTATCTTCGCGATTTATCGGAATCCGAACGACGAGTCGCTTCGGGGTTTCGAATTTTATGGGCCGCTCGTTTTTATCGGATTACCTTTGCTCACTGTGGACTTCCTTTGTTTTCTTGAAAACGAGCTTTAGGTTGGGTGCAGGGCGACTTCATTTTCAAGATGGAGGCGCTCGAGGGTAACATGGTACTTGTAACAAACGTCGTAGATCTCTGCACGCGAAAAACCTTCTCAGAGGGAGGAAGATAACGTTTACTACGTCTCCATCGTGCTCCTAAATCCGGGATTTAGAAACATCGAGCGGATCGTAAGGTCGAAAACTCGAAGTACGGAGGATTTCTTTAAAGGGAAGGGATATAGAATTCGGAATGTTCTACCTCCTTTGCCGGCAACGATGACAGAAAGGACGAGAGAAAGGTTCTTCCGGTTTTCCGGTAAATCACGGAACGGTCGTTTCTTCCATGGTGGGCGCCATCTTGCAAGATGGCCGCGGTGCCGGAGCGCGCGAGTAACTTTCCATAGACCTTGGGGAACCACCTAGGAGAAGGGGCGAGCACTAGAGCGGAAGCCTACCGAATCGCGTCGATGCGTCGTCTCGAAGGGAGCGCACGAGATGGCGTGGCGGCCATCGGACCTCTTAGACGTGTAACTATGTAATAAAGAGTATAAGCGGAACGTGTGCCGACAGCTCGCGGTCTTCTTTTCCGCTCCATTTTCCCCGATTTAGAAGGAGAAAACCCGCGGTTAATCTCGAAAGTACAGACGCTCAAAGCGCATTTTAAGGGCGACAAAAATGCTGCTTGGTGCATTTGTATATTAAGTTTTTTTTATATTGATATTGCCATTTGCCACACAAATACACATATACATACGCGTATATATATATAGAGTATATGTTAATGTAGAAATGTGAGAATTTGTATAAAAATTTGGAGGGATTTCATCGGATAATTTAAACGATTTTTGTCGCCCTGATGATGCACTTTGGGATTGCGCGGCGGCTCTTCCAAGATGGCGCCCAAGATGGCGGCCAAGATGGCGGCCCCCAGGCGCTTATGCGACCGGATTAACCTGGATTTTCGGGGATATAGACACAGTCCCAGAACGGAAATTCGGAGCCCGAGGTGTCGGTGGCGATTTAAAGTCGATATTATGTAAGAGGTAATATCGAACACATGCGCGGAGAGTATATAGACGACCTTGCATATTATATGTCACACACACACGACACACGCGCATATCGTGGCTGGTTTAGTTAATCGTCGGTCAGCGTAAACTGGGATTAGACTCGAATGCCGAACGAGAGGAGGGAATGCGGGAAATTCAAAATACAATTACATGTGTGAGAGAATGGACACACGCTCGGACAAAGTACATATATACACATATGTACACAGAATATAATTTCATAGACCGCGGGCCTGAAAAGTCTGATTTTTTAACCGCTGTGAGAAATTTGTATTATAATGTGGTCTACGACGTTTGTTTATTACTCTGTAAAATGACAGATTTCAAAATTAAACATTAATTACTGTTAACTCGTTCTTTTTCTGTCTCTGGTTTTTCATCGAGCGATTCGAATTTGAATTTGGCGGGTTTAAGGTGGCGCGTTCGTCGAACCGGAGAAATGTTTCTTTCGTTCAAGGAATCATTATTTCAGCCAAATAATTTATTCTTTGAATTGAAAATATATAGAGAGAGAGAGAGAGAGAAAAGATAACGCGCACGGAGCTACGGGAGGGGAGGAAGGAACCAAAAAGGAAAACGGAAAAAAAGATTATATATAAGAGAGGTAAGAAGCGCGCGCTTTCGGCGAAAGTTGTACACTTAAGAGAAGAGAGAGAGAGAGAGAGAGAGAGAGAGANACCAGGGAAGGAAAAGACGTGAATTCACGTCAGCGGTAACCAGGGAAGGAAAAGACGTGAATTCACGTCAGCGGTAACCAGGGAAGGAAAAGACGTGAATTCACGTCAGCGGTAACCAGGGAAGGAAAAGACGTGAATTCACGTCAGCGGTAACCAGGGAAGGAAAAGACGTGAATTCACGTCAGCGGTAACCAGGGAAGGAAAAGACGTGAATTCACGTCAGCGGTAACCAGGGAAGGAAAAGACGTGAATTCACGTCAGCGGTAACCAGGGAAGGAAAAGACGTGAATTCACGTCAGCGGTAACCAGGGAAGGAAAAGACGTGAATTCACGTCAGCGGTAACCAGGGAAGGAAAAGACGTGAATTCACGTCAGCGGTAACCAGGGAAGGAAAAGACGTGAATTCACGTCAGCGGTAACCAGGGAAGGAAAAGACGTGAATTCACGTCAGCGGTAACCAGGGAAGGAAAAGACGTGAATTCACGTCAGCGGTAACCAGGGAAGGAAAAGACGTGAATTCACGTCAGCGGTAACCAGGGAAGGAAAAGACGTGAATTCACGTCAGCGGTAACCAGGGAAGGAAAAGACGTGAATTCACGTCAGCGGTAACCAGGGAAGGAAAAGACGTGAATTCACGTCAGCGGTAACCAGGGAAGGAAAAGACGTGAATTCACGTCAGCGGTAACCAGGGAAGGAAAAGACGTGAATTCACGTCAGCGGTAACCAGGGAAGGAAAAGACGTGAATTCACGTCAGCGGTAACCAGGGAAGGAAAAGACGTGAATTCACGTCAGCGGTAACCAGGGAAGGAAAAGACGTGAATTCACGTCAGCGGTAACCAGGGAAGGAAAAGACGTGAATTCACGTCAGCGGTAACCAGGGAAGTAAAAGACGTGAATTCACGTCAGCGGTACCCAGAGAAGGAAAAGACGTGAATTCACGTCAGCGGTACCCAGGGAAGGGGTTGAAATTCTCGCTTTCTAACAGGAACATAGGATAACCGAGGAGGTGGCACAAAACTTGGAACTAATTAAACATACTCATTGTTATCGTTCAATAACTTGTTTTATTACATTAATTGTTTTACAGTTTATTATACATCAGTTACCGCAAGTACATAAGTTCTCGAGCGGGTTTAAAAGTATATTAACAAATTGTCCAGTCTGGTCGTCAGCTCCTTCTCTCGTTTCTCCAGGGTGAGACCTCGTAGAGTATCCGGCCACCTGGTGCTCGACGTTAAACCCAAGTCAAGGATTCCCTCTTCTACCCTCTGGTAATTCCCTGAAGTCATTACTGTACTCAAGATTTAAATGGGAGGTTATGTGCGAGTTCCAAATACACATACGGTCTAAGATAAAAAATTTATTACGGCGAATGTAATTATCAGGAACATTAGGGACGGGGAATGAACAATGGAAATTATTAATTTCTACCACATAGAATAATTTCCATACCACAAATCCTCCTTAGGTCCCCCATAATCACCTGTTAATATTTAACATTACTCGGTGCACCCAGTTCGGAGGAAACTTTTATAAATATTTTGAGGTTATGAAAAGCAGGCCGGTGGATATTAAAATTATTTGACGTTAATTGCGGATCTGTGTACGTTTCGCGTCGCTTAATGTACAGCGCAAAGTACATTTTTTATTTCAACGTAACGTGGACACGTCGGTGGAACCCTAACCTCACTAAAAAATTGTTATTTTTGGTATAAGTCCCGCCCTGACAGTCTTAAAAGACTAGTTCCGCGACGTGCGATAATCTAATTACTTAATATCGATGTAAAACTAGGGTTAAAGATAGAATAGTCGCGGCGCCGCCATCTTGGATTCTCCTGGGTGTGTAAAAATATTCACGCGCTGCGATAAATCCATCGGACGTAAACCCGGGCAAATCCGATCTGCGCAGATTAATCCCCTACAGGAAAAACTGGATTTAACTGCGTAGATTAAAAATCCCATATTTATCGCTGCATTTCTAGCCAGGTTAGAAACGACGCACGCCATTGTTTCCTCCTTTGTTCTCAGAAGTTCAGCCTCTTGGGAAATGAGGTTAATCGTGGAAAAGGCTGAATTTTGAGGAGGGGGTTTGTGTTTTCAGGGAAACTGTGGCGTGCGTCGGTCAGGAGGTTCAAAGAGTCCCCAAATTTGAGGTTAGGTCCGGGTTTTCGCTCATATCGTCGGACAGACGCTGGATGTAACATGGCCGTAGGCTCGTTCAGGGTCCAGGGCGACTGGTCTTTGATTTATCATTATGTTGCTTATGCATCCGACGTATTGGGACTGGGAAACACTTCCTCGAAGTCTTCTGCCCAACATCGGATGGCCTCCGATGAACAGGGGATGTTTAGAGAGAACTGGTGCCGCGTTCTTCCCGGCCTGGCCCACTCCTGGTGGCGCCGCCTTGTGGTCGACTGATAAAAGCAACGCGCTCTTCTGCTTTATTGCTGAAACGTGGAAATAAGTATTAGATACTAGGGATAAAATGGCATTTGAAAGGACATAGATGCATCTTAGATGGTAGGAAAGGTCCGCGGTTGCGTCTCGACAAGATCATGGCATCGACTACCGAGTCTCTTTACGTTAACTATGGACCTGAAGGGCTTCTAAGTTTCTTTAAACACTCAGTGCTGCAGTAAGAAGTCCTTGGAAACTTTTTCAAACACATGAGGGGCTTTAATTTCTTCCCCTCTTTCGTTTAAGACCAAGATCGGAGGAATCATTTAACGCTTTCAGAGGTTATGTTCAGTAATTTGCGTTTCCAAGTCCCTCTTTTAATTCCATATCGTGGATTCTTGTCAGACTATGAGAATCAGATCTTGCAGGACGTCAAGTTAAATCAAGTTAAGCTTGAATTAAGAAACTCGGTAGAGTTTCGCGCCAAATACATAGTTAATAATCAAATTCTTAGTATTAAGAAATAATACATACCGCGGATGTTGTGCCAGTTTCCATCGCAAAGCGCGTTGGGCATCATTTGCTCGAATGACGTCTCGATCTGCCCTTTTATCGTCTTGACAACAAATCTTATCGTCCCGTTGATCATTTCCAGAATAAGGAAATCCCGCTTCCCGTGAATGGACACCAAATGACCGGAAGTCGACCTTGGCTTTATATCCATTTGGATGTCCACGGTACGGCCGACGGTGAATCTGTCCACTAAAAAATATAGAAATACATTCAAGACCGTAAACAATGATCCAAAAGACCGTAAACATTGTCTACAAAGCCGGAATTTCAATTAACAACCCGAGTCCCTTATAGAGGACGCGCCGCCATCTTGAAAAGTCTTCCCTCACTAGCTTAGAAAATTAGAAAAAAAATCCCCGGCTCTCGCAAACAATTCCCGGATTGTTTATTGACTACTTACGGGCTTTGAACAAATTACTGCCGTTTCCGGGATAAAAGAAAAGTCCAGGCTCTACTCTCTTGGAGCAGGGAATTACTCCGATCTTCTCGGCGGGTTCGCCGATCACCTGGCCGTTCATTTTGAAGCTCGTCAGACATCCGGTAAATGTCTTGTTCAGGCCCTGGGTGCCATACAAATACATGTACACTGGTTAAACAATAGATCGGGATTAGGTAATTATGGGAATAATTTTCAGGATTTTTTCTTACGATTTTTTCTAATACGTTCGATGACTTTTCCGGCATTATTCCCCCGAGGTAAAATGGCGGATTTACGTTGATCGATGTTGTATGTCCTTCCGAATATCCGGAAACCGAATTTGAATCGTCGATTATTAATTCCCCGTAACTGCCTTCTCTTTTGAAATTAACTGTGTGCCATTGATTATCGCTGACTTTGTCCTCGCTAATTAGAGTCGCCGCTCCGCTTCCGCAATTAAATCTGTAGTGCACCTGAAAACAAAAAGAGATTGCATTTTGCATTAATTATTTCACATGAAAATCATGCCGGAGATTTTTGAAAAAATTCCTGGACAATTATAGGAATGAAAACTGGGGGATTGTTAAATTGAAATGAATTTAGATTAACCTAACCGCATTGCAGTTTGCATTAATTAAAAAAACTTATTTTACATGAAAAATATTCTGAGAGATTTTTAAAAAAATTCCTGGACAATTATTGGAATAGGGGGATAGTAAAATTCCTGGACAATTATTGGAATAGGGGGATAGTAAAATTGAAATAAATTTCGCTTTAAGTGTTGAGACATTGTTCGAGTACCTTGCCGTCTTTCAGGTACACTGCAATTAAGTCTTGCTTGTTCATGTCCGATGCATAGAAGATTATTCCTTCTCTGGACATTGTTTTAACGTCGATTTGGAAGTCGTAATCGTTTTTGTATCTTCCTTGTAGAGAACGATACTCCAATCGGCTGTACTTTGTTGCTCCTGGATAATATTAAAATTAATACATAAGATTAATAATTAAATGAAAAAAAATATAATATAGACGGTAATGGTGTAAATAAAATTAGCGCGGGATGGAAAGTAATTGAAATGGCTGCCTGAAAATTCCTGGAAATTATTTACCAAATCTCCAGGCATTTTCCACGTCAGGGTCGTCAGCTGGGAAATATGGTAGTAAACAGCCGTCAACAGTTGGAGGTGGAGTTGGTTCTGGGGTAAATACTTCTTGAAGGGTTGTCTTCGCTGTTGAAGTTGTTGTAATTGACCCGCCAATGTTGTATCGACCCTCCACCTTGACCTCCTCTTCACTTCCGGTCTCTATTTCCACGTTCACGGTGTCTGGAAAGAGAATTTTGATTTTGAGCGGAAATTTGATTTGCGATTTTGCAAAATGAATTTTTGTGAAGTCAAAAATTTGATTTTGAGCGGAAATTTGATTTGCGATTTTGCAAAATGAATTTTCCGAAGTCGAAAATTTGATTTTGAGCGGAAATTTGATTTGCGATTTTGCAAAATGAATTTTTATGAAGTCGAAAATTTGATTTTGAGCGGAAATTTGATTTGCGATTTTACAAAATGAATTTTGCGAAGTCGGAAATTTGATTTGCCATTTTGCAAAATGAATTTTACGAAGTCAAAAATTTGATTTTGAGCGAAAATTTGATGTGCCATTTTGCAAAATGAATTTTCGCGAAGTCGAAAGTTTGAGCACGTTTAATTTCCAATAGTAGAGGCTGCAAAGAAAATTTTGCAAAATTGAAAATATTGAAAAAAGATTGAATACTCTCACCGGGATTTTCGTTTCCTCGACACTGAAAACCACTTAATGAAAATCCGAATACAACAACGAAAAGTAAAACATTAAAGCCTGCCATGATTTCTTCTCCGAGCGCTTTTATAAGACTATACTGAAGACTATACCGAAGAATAGAAGACTATATGCCGTTCCTTGGCGCAATCAATTCTTGTATTATTGGAGGTTAAAGTTGGCCCCTAATCAATGGTAAATATCACTAAAAGATACGCAGACAAAGACCTTTTCTCGCCCACTGTCGGAAAATGATAAGAAAAATTCAGAGATTCCCTGTAAACGTCTCAATCAGACGAGCTTAACAATAACTATCTGATAACAAATGCTAATCAATCCCTTCTTTAATCCACGTTATCGGATTTATTGTATTAATAATTAATTATCATTTTTTTCAGGGGATATTCATCGAAAATAATCATTATAAAAATATTATGTTCACTAATGCAAATTCCCAGAGTGATAATACAATTATTTTTCAATATTGCGATATAAAAAAACTCCTAGTAAAATAAAATGAGATTTTTTAAGTGATCGTGGGACTTCGAAGCACAATTTAATTATTGTGTCGGATGGTTAATTATTTTCTTTTAATTTGTCGGGCCAATTTTTAACTTTATTTTGTTCATCGGTGCACATGGGAATTACTTTATTACTTGTCATTACTTACTGTTAGGTGAAGGTGGCAGTGTAATGTCTTCCAAGCTCTCCGTAGGTGGTACCGGAGGATAGTTGCCAGTTTCTGGTTCAACGACAGGTGAGATTGCTGAAAAAAAAAAAAAATATCCATATATTGTAACGAAGTTTCATTATTACAAATCCTGAGGACTCAATGACGAAACTAGAGCGCACCGATGATGGAATAAGTCGTTCTTACTGAGAGTCAAATTCCCATCCTTCCTTCCCTTCTAACCAGGATCAGAAGACCGGAAACACGATAATTAGATCGAGAGTACACCTAATTTAATTAAATAAAATGAAAAAAAAATAATATCCTGAGTTAGAAATCTCCACCGAGGAAANCGATATTACATCAGTGTTTTAGAAATACATACATACATCTAGAGCTTCCTGTGTTAATAAGAGGGGGGAGTGTGAAATAATAAAAATGAAAAGGAGACGAGCCAATGAAAAGCTTGTTACGCGTGCCGATACAATATATTTCCTTCCTCGTGATGTAAACAGTTTTAAGCAAATTAAAAGTAACCTACGCGCCCTCGGGAAGTCCGAAGGACGTTTCACTTCACCTTAAAATGTGAATTTTAAAGCCCAAGTTGTTTATATTCTCTATGTCTCTCTTTCGTTTGATCTAAAATCTCGGCAGAATATTCGGATCGCGATGCTAGGAGTAAGATAAAACCGTGCAGCGGTTTTTTTTTTTTAAATTCTAGGATTTCGGATATATGTGCCCATAATTATGAAAGTGGTCTAACTCATATATTTTCTGTTTCGAGCTTACGTTGAATTAATTTCGTTTGAAATAATATCGCGTGAAATAACTGATAAACTGATTTTTCTTTCTTAATTTTCACTTAGACCACTTTCATAATTACGGGCGCATATCGGACTCCTTCGAAGTGGAAAAAAGATGTATAAATAAATAATGGAGCACAGCACCCGGAATTAAGTCGTGTCGCTCCACTGGAGGAAATAATAAACAACGCACAGGGAGTTGGAAAAAGACAATTGTACAATTAGTTTCGGCAAAGGGTTGGATTATTAATTAAAACTTAGATTGGGCTGAACTTGCGGGGGAGAAAAAAAAAAAAAATCAGTAGAAGGAAAGTTGCACTTGCCTTACACGGAGATCCGTTTTCCTTCCCGTTTCCTTTTTCCAATTATTTTCCCTAATTAATTATCGAAGAACTGGTCTTATTGGATGTTCAGTGCCTTTTCATTGATTGACTCAATCTCAAGATTCCGTTGTTGCATTAAACTCGGATTAAGGTGAAGTGAAACACGTCGAGGAACTTGATCGACGTCGATAAAGAAGATTTTTCTAAATGCTTACGTTGCCGACGTTCGTTTTTATATCGACAGCTGAGTCGAATTATGTTGGGTATTGTATCAAATGGCATACTCCACCTATAGTTTTCGTACAATAATTATAAAGAAATCGAAGTAAAACTCCAGAAATCCTTCGGATTCATGCTTTCTGGGGCCTTAATTGACTGCAGAGGGACCCCCTGCGCCATCTGTGATTTGTCGCGTCAACTAAATTTTCACTCCAAGACGTCGTATTACCATCATTTTGGCATAGAAGCGCATACAACACTTTTTTTGCCTTTATCCCGTTCAAATGCGAGTTTATCGATTACCAGAGTGTTC